AGTCTCCCCTGCAGGTCATTTCGTAGATAAGGAAAGTGGGGTCTGAGCCCGAAGCGGTCGGGGTGACTCTGCGCCACCGGCGCCAAACAAGGAATCTGAACTCGGCGTCTCCTGCGCAGAGAGTCCCCGACGGGGAGGAGGCGCCCGTCCGGGGCAGGGGCTTCCACCCCGCGCCCAGCCTGGACAGACGCCTGGGGAGCCCCAAAGGCTGAGGCGCTCCCACATCCCCTCTCCCCGCCTCCGGGGCACAGAGGGGCGAGAGACGGAGGGGTCCGGGGCTGCTCAGGCCCGGCCTCGGGGCGGCCTCTCCTCCTGCCGGCTGCACCCGGGCCCGGAGACTCTCCTGCTCCCCAGACCCCACGACGAGCCCGCCGTGATCACCGCGCCCAGGCCGGGGACCCCGGTGCCGTCCAGGCCGCAGAGGCGCCGGCGGGGCAGGAGGCCGCGCTTCAGCCCTGGGGCGGACAGGGGGTCACGCTCTGGAGCGAGCCCGGCCCCTCCATTCCTCCAGGCCCAGGACGCACCCCGATTGCCCCCCAGTTCTCCACCCCCAGCCCTCCCGCCCCGGGACGCCCCCCGCCCCGCGGCCGGCCGCCTCAGGGAGATGTCCCCCGCCCCCGCCCGGCTCACCTGCTCACTGCCGGCCGAGGGGCCCGATAATCGCACGGATGACGACCCCCGGCCGGGTCTAGAGCGACCAGGCCCGGCAGCCCCAGCTCCCCCAAGGTCGGGGAAGCCGGCGGGGGCGACTCCGCCGCGACTGCACTGCGCTCATGCGTGGGGGGGCCTGCAGGTGCGGCAGGTGCGGCAGGTGCGGCAGGTGGGGGCGGCCACGCCCCACGCGCCCTCGGTGGCCACGCCCACGGCAGGCCCGCGGCGCCCGACAAGCTGGAGACTCAAACTCAAACGGAGGCAAAGAGCCCTGTGTCCTCCAAAAATACGCCAACGAAACGCCAGGAAGCCACGAAAACCGCAAAACGGGTCTGCTTGGGTTTAAAAACTTGCTCAGGGCCTCCCTGGGGGCGCAAGGGGTTAAGACGCAAGCTATGAAGCTGTGCACGGCCTCCGCAGCACGAGTTCAATCCCCGGCCGGGGAGAGCCCCACATGGCGCGCAGACCTCTCCTGGCGCAGCAGTGCATTTCGCTGGTCTGCCTGCTCTGCTCCCCGCGCTGTCTCTGGTGAATTCTCCACCCCCCACGCCTCTGACCTGTACCCCAGCTCTTGTATGCACAAATAAATAAATCGCTGGTGGCGCAGCTGAGCGCCTGACCTCTGCGGCGCGGTTCAATCCCGGCTGCTGTCCCACATGGCGCGCAGATTGCTCCAGTGTGCTTCGGTCCCTGCCTGCTCTGCTCCCCGCTCTGGCTCTGGTGAATTCTCTCACCCAGCTTCTGCTGCCCAGTGCATGTATATGCAAACAAATAAATAAATCTATTTTAAAAAAAAATATAAAATTAAAAATAAAAATAAAAAAATAAAAATCGTTTGATTGAAAAAGAAAAACACTTTTTCATCGATGTGTAAAGATTTGGAAAGTACAGACATGTTAAAAGGGAAATCAAAGTCACGTACCGTGACAGAGAAAAGCCCCGTTTTGTGGTCTCATTTTTATGCTTTTTTTTGGTTTTTTGTCCCATGGACACCAAAGTTTTTGTAAAAACAAAGGACTCACAGCAGCTGCATTGATCTCCACTAGGTGGCGCCGTGGCGCGGACACTGGAGGACACCCAGGCTGTGGTCAGTGTGGTCCGAACGTGGCCAAGCCAGTAACCTTCATCTTGGTGGGTGATTTTGATTATTTTCGCGGGCTACATCCTGGGAGTGACTATTGTACAAACTGAGGCTTGATAATGTTGCCAGGCCACTGTTTCCTGTTTTAACACATCAGCCAGAACTTCCAAAACCGAAGTTGTCTAGAGGAAAGACCTAGTTAATTTCTTTCCAAAGGTAAGTCTAACTACAATGATAAAGACTATCCTTCTGGGGCATCCTGGTGGCGGAAGGGGTTAAGCACAGCACTGTGAAGCTGTCTGCAGCCTCCGCAGCACGGGTTTGTTTGATCCCTGGCAGGCCAGGGAGCTGACCCTCATGGCGCAGCAGACCTCTCCTGTCTCCTCTGAAGCTCCCCTCAGCAGTGTATTTCAGTCAGTTCTGCTCCCCACTCTGTCTCTGGTGAGTCCTCTCACCACCAGCACCTCTGGCCTGTACCCCAGTTATTGTATGCATAAATAAATAAATCTTAAAAAAAAAAAAAGCTATCCTTCCAAATGCTCGGTGGAATTTTTCTCTCCAGGTATTTCCTACTTCTGCTCTTTGATTTCATTTTTCCTTTCCCAAACTAAAAAAAAAATCAGATTTTATGATTTGTTATTCACACACTCCCCACAGCTGAATACTATGTAATAGACCAAGTTCGGTTGATTTTCCTTAGGGTGAGAGTGAAGGAAGTGATGATCTGATGTGTGGTCTAGAGACAACACAGACACAAAAAAAATTACACAAAGGAGTGATGTAGGAACTAATGAAACAATTATAGATATAGTAAAGATGGCCAATTTTCTACATATCAGGCATTGGTTTTTACAGATACATTGATTTATTTAATCATCCTCTGCTGTCCTCTAAAGTATGTATTATTGCTATTATTAGCATCTCCATTTTACAGGTGAAATTCTCAAGCACAGAGTAACTGGCCCAAGGTCCTCAGAGCAGGACCTGAGCCTCAAGGTTCCTGTCGAATCCATGCACACAGCCACGGAAACAAGGTTCCCTCGGTAACGCCGAGCAGGGAAGGACTGTAACTCTGGAGGGCCAAAGAGGGTTTTTATAATGTAATGCTTCCAAGTGACGTTCATTGAGCATCTACTATATGGCAAGCAACATGCAAAAAGCTGCATATATAACCAAAAAAGAGTGATGATCCTTGACTGCAGTCAGCTCACAGCCCAGCAGGGGACTTATACGGTGAAATACACGATGACGTTGTGTCGCAAATGTGATAAAGGCAAAGACCTGAATATGAATATGAAAGTGACGTGATGTGAGGGTGGCGCCGGGGGTGGCCTCTCTGAGGAAATGAAGTTGGAGTCTGCAGCTGCAGGATGAGGGTGAACCAGGCACAACAATGGGAGGAAGAGCTCGCGGGCAGGTCTCCAGGTGAGAGCTTAGGGTAGGAGGAACTGGAAGGGAGGGCACCATTGCCAGGGAGACAGTGGCAAGTGCCAGTCACTCCGGGTCAGGCAAGGGGACGGGATTTATTCCAGGTGAACGAGGGGTTGAAGCAGAGGTGGGAGGAAGCTAGATGTTCTGATTCACTTTCGGGGTCGTTCTATTCTGTGGCGTATACACTGAGGTGGAGAGTGGAAACTGAGAGGGCAGTTAGATGTCGTTCCAGGCAGGACATCGTGGAGGTCTGGACCAGCTGGAGGCTCTGGAAGCGGAGGAAGGAGGGTTCCTGCCCCATCCTGCAGATGTGCGTCCGGAGCCAACAGCCGTCCCGGTGGGTGGCCCGGATGTTGGGGTGAGTTCTAAGGCTCTGGCTTGGTGGGACCAGTGGATGTGAAGCTGTTTATGAGACAGAGGTCTGTACAGATCTTGAAGGGATCACAGAGAATCTCTCAAAACCCAGATCCCCAAAATGAGCGACCCCTGGAGTTCAAGCAGCTACTTTTCCTTCCATTTTCAAGCATATTTCGAACTCCCTCTGTAGCCACCCTCTCTTCTGTCTTTAAAACAACCATAGGGCCAGGGAGCTACCCACATGGCGCAGCAGACCTCTCCTGTCTCGCCCGCTGCTCCCCTCAGCAGTGTATTTCGTCAGTCTGCCTGTTCTGCTCCCCGCTCTGTCTCTGGTGCATCCTCTCACCCCCGGCATCCCTGGCCTGTACCCCGGTTCTTGTATGCATAAATAAATGTTTAAAAAGAGCTCTATATTCGGGACAATGTGTTGGGCAGCAGCCGGGACTGTGGAGAAGAACAAGATGAGTCAGACACAGATGCTGCCTCAGGGAGCTGGTGCTGGAGACCGGAGGGGAGAGCAGGGCCCACCGCCTACTTCTGTGTGTGCTGGCTGTTGTGTGTGTGCTGGGTGCTGTGTGCTGGGTGTTGTGTGCTGGCTGCGTCTGTGCTGTTTGGGCCGCACACCTCCGCGGCCTGAACCGGGGACGCCTGCTCCCTCGCGGTGTGGGGTGGGGGCAGCAGCGCTCGGCCCCTGTGCGTCCGCGTCGATGTCCGCGAGGCCCCCTCGGGGCTCCCTTAGGCGACGCCCCCACAGGCGCGCAGCCCCGCAGCCCCACCACCTCCCCGCGGCCCCCCGCAGGGCGCCAGCCAGGGCCGCTCCGGGCTCCGCGGGTCCGCCCGGCCCGGCCCGGCCCGGTCTCGGGCAGCAGGGTCGCGATGCGCGGCCCAGCCGCGTCCTCCCACCCCGCGCACGACTCTCGGGGCGCGCGCCAGGCTGCAGGCGCCCTCCCCGGCTCGCGGCCCGGCACCCGCCGGCCTGGCACCAGCGCGGCCTCCGGTCGGCCCGGGCGGGATGAGGCTGCCGGAGCCGCGCCGGCCTCTCCCTGCCGCCCACCGGCGCGCGGCCCTGGACGCCCCGGACGGCCCAGCCGGCGGCGGCCGGGCGGACCCTCTGGACCCCCTGGACCCTCGGCGCCCGGCCGGGCCCGTCCTGTCCCCCGCACCCCCCCCCCCGCCACGGAGCGGGGGCGGGGCGCCCCCGGGGCGCAGGACCTGCGGGACGAGGGGCCAAAGGGCGCGCCGGGTAATGTTTACCCCACGGGGTCACGGGCGGGCCTGGCAGGGCTCTCGCAACCCAACCGGAGCGGGCCTGAGCCAGCCGCTGCCCGGCCTTCCTTGTTTGACTTGGAAGCGACGGCCGGGCCGGGGCGGGGGGGGCGGGGGGGCGGGGGGGCGGGGGGGCGTGCTGCGGGCAGGGCCGGGCCCGGGGCCACAGGCCCGCCTTATATGGCCGTGCGGTGGCCGGAGTCCACGGCCCCGCCCGCTGAGCAGCAGACATGAGCACGGCAGGAAAGGTAAGCCACGCTCTCCTTTGGGGAGTATGGTCTCGCTAGCACGGCACAGAAGCAGAATACTGCTCCATGAGTGGCTTAACGTCGGTTTGAGTCAGAAAGACGACTGTGCTCAGAGCATGCTTTACTCTGCAAGGGCAGAGACCTGGTGCAGCCGCGAGACCGGTGCGGGCATCTCTGACAGGAGTCAGAGCACCTGCCGCCTTGTCTCCGTTCCTGTGCTAGACGAGAGTGCAGAGCCTAGAGTCAACCACGACTGACTCGCAATGCAGCGTTAGAAGTGGTCTTAATCCAGGGCTTTTTGAATTAAGAACCAGAACTGAAATGTGTTATTCTTTGTAATGGCATCACTGTTATGAACATAGGAAAGCTAAGTCTGACAAAAGTCTCATGGGAAGGGGGCCTCCCCGGTGGCACAGCAGGTTCAGCCCAGAGCTGTGAAGCTGTCTGCAGCCTCCACAGTGCGGGTTCGATTTCCTGCCAGCCAGGGAGATACCCACATGGCATGGCAGACCTCTCATGTCTCACTGGCTGCTCCCCTCAGCACCGTTTTTGGTTTGTCTGCCTGTTCTACTCCCCGCTCTGTCTCTGGTGAATCCTCTCATCCTCCCGCACCTCTGGCCAGTTCTTGTATAAATAAAAATTTTTTTAAATATGTACCAAAAAAGTCTCATGAGAAGATTTGAGTCAGAGGACTTTGAAATGTCCTTTGGACTAGTGTGGACGAGATCACAATAAGCACATTTCTCTGGAACCATCAGCAACGTCACAGTTACAGAGCCAACACCAACATGCAGTTTCTGGCTCAGAAGGAATCTTTTTATTTTCAAAGATTTATTTTACTTATTTATGCATACAAGAACTGGGTGCAGGCCAGAGATGCAGGGATGAGAGGATTTGCCAGAGACAGAGTGGGGAGCAAATCAGGTAGATTTACTGGAATACACTGCTGAGGGGAGCAGCGGGGAGTTGGGAGAGTTCTGCTGCACCCCATGGGTCAGCTCCCTGGCCTGGGTTCAAACTTGTGCCGCAGTGGCTGGCGAGAGCTTCATAGAGCTGAGATTTATCACCCCTTGCACCACCAGGGAGGCCCTGACTCAGAAGGATTCTATGAAAGCACAGGAAATGTCCATGGAAACCCTACAGAATAAGGTCTTGACCACAAAAAAATGAACATTTTACAGAAAAATTATCTCTGGCACAGTTGGAGTTACTACTAGTATGTTGTTCTCAGTCCTCCATGGAGGCATGTCTGCCTGCTCAGAGCCCTTGCAGGTGCAGGGATGCCTGTGCTCAGTCGGCTGAGCCGCCCCACGTTGTCAGGCTGCTTAGGGACCGCTGTCCCGCACAGCCGCTGTGGCAGGCCACGTCGACAGGAGCGGCTCAGGGTGTGCCCGTGCGATGCAGCAGGCTCCTGGCAGCATCTCTGTGGAAGCCACATGTGCAGCCAATTGTCAGCTTTCTCATTCCAGCTCGATGTTCATTCATTCTTGGCTAGCATTTACAATGCATGTTCATTCTAAATTATGACTAAAAAGGAGAAAAATTAGGTTTGCCAAAATTCAGATGGTAAGAAACGAGGTTCAGCAGCAAGTGTGTGGATGAAAACAGTAGTGAGGGGCTCACAGCTCGGCGCCACGAGGGGCTTCGTCTGCCTCTGCCCCGCCTGCGTTACGCTCTCTTCAAACACTGCATGTCATAGTGCCTGGTTCGGGGGTGGCTGTGAGAATAACTACAACTGAAAAGCATTTAGAATAGTGCCAAGTGCACAGAAGTGTCCCAAACATTGTTACGCGCTGCTGTTACCATCATTGTTAGTTTAGTCTCTCGATAAAAAGTCCTGTGACTTCAGGGCAATCAGTCAGCACTGAGTCCACAGAACCTAATCTTTCCAGCCATAAAATATACCAGCCCTTCAGCAGCACCAGGCTGGGGCAGGGCATGGGGTGAAGGGTCAGTCTGTGGCTCCCAGCCTGTCCTCTGGCCCTGGGGTCGCCAGTGCTGACCACAGCAGACACTGCAAAGCAGGAGGGTTGACACATGTGGAAAATGAATTGTGAAAAGAGTGTTTCAATTGAATTTTTATCTTTTTTTGCAATTACTTACCCATAGATAACTCCAGGAAAAATTTCTCTTAACTGTACAAGTTTTGCAATAACAAAGCTAGGGTTTATATTAGATTCCCAGGCACTAAGATATGTGTTTGATTTTCACTTTTAAGCACGTTTGTGGGTAAGCGGTGCTCACTGGCAAATCAAACACACAGCTCTCCTGTTTTTAGTTGTGTGTGTGTGTGAAAGAATGTGAGTGTGTGTTTGTGAATTGTGTGATTGTGTGGGTGTGAATGTGGGTGTATGGAGTTTTGAACTCTGACTTTTGCTCAAATATAATCTGGAAGGACTCACTACATAAAAATCACATAATGAGACACAGTTGCCAAGGTTAACTGCCAGAGGAGCGATGTGGAAACCCTTCAGCCTTGGGAGGGGAATGGAATTGGAATCATGAAATCAGGCCATTTTGTCTTAGGCAGAGAATTGCACAAGAGATCAACAGCTTATCTTTTTCTTTTTTTTTTTAATTTCTTCTTTTTATTATTTAAATTTTATTTTTATATTCCCCATACAATTACAACCCCCTTATTTTGACCCCAATCCCTCCTTTCCCCACCCCCCACCCCCCCATAGAGTGTCTCTGGTTCATAGTTGTTGATTTTGATAATTTTTTTCATATAGTTATTCTTTTTCCTGGTCCCTTATTTAGGTTTTCTAGATTCCTGCTATGAGTGAGACCATCCGGTATTTTTCTTTTTACTTTCTGGCTTATTTCGCTGAGCATGATCCCTTCCAGCGCCACCCATGTTGCTGCAAATTGCATGTGTTTATCTTTTTTGATTGCTGAGTAATATTCCATGGTGTAGATGCACCACATCTTCTTGATCCAGTCATCTGTTTTTGGGCATTTGGGCTGTTTCCAAAGCTTAGCTATTGTAAACAGTGCTGCTGTAAACATAGGGGTGCAGGTGCTCTTTGGAATGGATGTTTCTGTGTCCTTTGGGTAAATACCTAGGAGTGGAATTGCTGGATCCTATGGAAGCTCTATGTTTAGTAGGTCCAGAAATCTCCACACAGCTCTCCACAGTGGCTGGACCAGTTTGCACTCCCACCAACAGTGCAGGAGAGTTCCTTTCTCTCCACATCCTCGCCAACATTTGTTGTTGCTAGTTTTTTTAATATGTGCCATTCTCACTGGCGTAAGATGGTAAGAGATCAACAGCTTTTCTGTGAACAGATACTGAATCTTTTGGAAAAACAATGATGCAGAACTTCGTGTACAGCCAACAGTTACTAAACAGCCAATTTCAGGGCCTTGTTAAGCAATCTCAGGAATAAACAACCCTTGGAGAAAAACAACTTCCCAGCGCCTGATTTTTTTGCTTATGCAGTTGCTTCACATGTTAAAAAGGTTTCCTCTCCGCAGATCAGAGGTTGTTGCTTTTCACAGGCTCTCGTGAGATCGCAGACCCGGGGCTATGCGGGGAAAGATGGAGGATGCAAGCCCGGCATTGAGAGCAGGAAAAACCCGGCCCTCTTTCTGTTCCGCTTCCAGGTCATAAAATGCAAAGCTGCGGTGCTCCGGGAGTTGAACAAACCCTTCTCCATCGAAGAGGTGGAGGTCGCGCCCCCGAGGGCCAATGAAGTCCGCGTTAAGGTGAAACTTTTTCTGCTTCTAATTAATTTTAGGTTTAACTTGTTCAGAGAACAGTAAACATGGAAGTAACCAAAAATCCATTAAGAGACATCTTTTACATGGTCATCAGATAGCAGAATTCCATTTGTGGTCAAAGAACGGTATAACTTGCCACATTTTTGAAAAGGAAACCAAAGAGTATATAGTGTGATCCCAAAAACAGATAAGGGATTTTCACATCTGTACAGGAAAAAAGCACAAAGGGACATATATCAAGATCTCAAAATAAACCAGCATTAGATGTTGGAACGGAAATGACTTATTTTCTTGGTGCTAGTGTGCAAAGATTTCAACGTCTCTGAGAAAGGATGCATTCTTATATTCAAGACGCGCATTTCAGAAACAATATCTCACTGATTATTCCCAGTTGTTTGATGCCAGAAAGGAAGCAGAGGAGGGTTTTACACTGAATACTCCTGGGGTGATCTAAATCGTTTCCATTTGGGAAGAGTCGGAATTATTACAATAACGATCACCCTTAAAACTCTGGAAGCGCAGAGTCGGAAGACGGCCTCCAAGGCCGTGTGGACACCATGACCACCTCTGCCTCTGCCCACAGATGGTGGCCGCAGGCATCTGCCGCTCGGACGACCATGTGGTGAACGGGTCCTTACCCACGCCGCTCCCCGTGATTCTGGGCCACGAGGCAGCGGGCGTGGTGGAGAGTGTGGGAGCAGGAGTGACAACCGTCAAGCCAGGTAGGTAGCCCCGCAGGGCGGGCCTGCAGCAGCCGCACCCAAACCCCAACCCCATCGCACCTGTCAGGCACAGCTCCTGGTAGATCCTGGCACCGCGGACCCGGGCACCTGCGCGCCTGCCAGGCCAAAGTCACAGCCGCGCCACTGGTGCACCTGCACTACGGGGCGCAGCCTCCGGTGGGCCCAAGAACTGCAGGATTGAGGGCGCTGACATTAATTTCTTAATTCTAAGAAATTACTTAGCCAGTACATTCAACTTCCTTCCTGACCAAATACTTAATTGACATGTGAATAGAAAACCGTAAGAGAAACTGCCTGGTTTGAATTTCAGTTCTTAGTATTTTCTTAATTAATAGTATTTTCTTAATTAATAGTATTTTCTTAATAAATTAATAATAAGTGACTCCCCTGTTTTCACCTCTGCTTCTTCCACCATAGCAGGAAAAACAGATAATCCACAAATTAAGTGATTGGCTTCAAATATTTGAAATCGGGTTCTTACGCTAAAACAAACAAACAACTGGGCCTCCCTTGGTGGCGCAGGCGGTTGAGCGCCGCACTGTGAAACTGTCCACAGCCTCTGCAGCACCAGTTCGATCCCGGCCGGCCCGCGAGGGTCCCACATGGTGCGGCAGACCTCTCCTGTGGCAACTGCTGCTCCCCTCAGCAGTGTATTTCGTCAGTCGGCTTGTTCTGTTCCCTGTTCTGTCTCTGGTGAATCCTCTCACCCTCCCGAGCATCTGGTCTATACCCCGGTTCTTATATAAATAAATAAATAAATAAATCTTTAAAATAAAATAAAATAAAACCAACTCAGTTAGGCTTGAGGTTTTCAAAGGAATGTTTTCTTTTTTATTTATTTATTTATTTATTTATTTATTTTTAATCTTAAATTTTATTTTTATATTCCCCCATACAATTGCAAACGCCCCATTCTGACCCCAATCCTTCCCCTCCCGCCCCCCACCCCCCAAAAGTGTCTCTGGTTCATAGTTTTTTGTTGATTTTGATTTTCACTTTCTTATATTCATTTTCCTGGTCCCTTATTTAAGTTTTCTAGATTCCTGCTATGAGTGAGACCATCCGGTATTTTTCTTTTTCTTTTTGGCTTATTTCGCTGAGCATGATCCCTTCCAGCGCCATCCATGTTGCTGCAAATTGCATGTGTTTATCTTTTTTGAATGCTGAGTAATATTCCATGGTATATATGTACCACATCTTCTTGATCCAGTCATCTACTTTTGGGCATTTGGGTTGTTTCCAAAGCTTAGCTATTGTAAACAGTGCTGCTATAAACATAGGGGTGCAGGTGCTCTTTGGAATGGATGTTTCTGTGTCCTTTGGGTAAATACCTAGGAGTGGAATTGCTGGATCCTATGGAAGCTCTATGTTTAGTAGGTCCAGAAATCTCCACACAGCTCTCCATAGTGGTTGGACCAGTTTGCACTCCCACCAGCAGTGCAGGAGAGTTCCTTTTTCTCCACATCCTCGCCAACATTTGTTGTTGCTAGTTTTTTTAATATGTGCCATTCTCACTGGTGTGAGATGGTATCTCATGGTAGTTTTGATTTGCATTTCCCTGATTGCAAGTGATGTTGAACATTTTTTCATATGTCTGTTGGCCATTTGCATTTCCTCTTCAGAGAAGTTTCTTTTTAGCTCTTCTGCCCATTTTTTGACTGGATTATTTTCTTTGTTGTTGCTGAGTCTCATCAGCTCTTTGCAGATTTTTGTGATCAGTCCTTTATCATTAGTGTTGGGTGCAAAAATGTTCTCCCAGTTGGTGGGGTTTCTCTTTGTTTTTGTTATTGTCTCTTTTGCTGTGCAGAAGCTCTTTAATTTGATGTAGTCCCAGCTGTTTATCTTTGCCTTCACTATCACTGCTTTGGGTGATGTGTCTGTAAAGATGTCTTTGATGTGCAAATCACGTAGTGTTTCGCCTATATTTCCTTCTATGTATTTTATGGTTTCAGGTCTTATGTCTAGTTCTTTAATCCATTTTGAGTTGATTTTTGTGTATGGTGTGAGGTAGTGGTCAAGCTTCATTCTTTTGCATGTAGCGACCCAGTTTTCCCAGCACCATTTATTGAACAAACTTTCTTTGCTCCAATGCATAGTCTTTGCTCCTTTGTCAAAGATTAGTTGACCATAAATCTGTGGGTTTATTTCTGGATTTTCTATTCGATTCCATTGGTCTGTATGTCTGTTCTTGTTCCAATACCATGCAGTTTTGATGATTATGGCTTTGTAGTATAGTTTGAAGTCTGGGAGTTTGATGCCTCCATTTCCTTCTTTTTTTTTCAGTAGAGCTTTGGCTATTCGGGGTTTTTGGTGATTCCATATGAATTTCATCAATAATTGTTCTATTTCTTTGAAGAATGCCATTGAGATTTTGATTGGAATAGCATTGAATCTGTATATTGCTTTTGGTAGGATGGCCATTTTAATAATGTTTATTCTTCCAATCCATGAGCAGGGGATGTCTTTCCATTTCTCAAAGGAATGTTTTCAATTCTTCTCTGTCCCATTTTTGTTAATATTCCTCAAGAAAAGAACTAAACATGAAGGGGCCTCCCCGGTTGCGCAGCGGTTGAGCGCTGGGTTGCGAAGCTGACCGCAGTCTCCACAGCGCCGGTTCGATCCCCGGCTGCTCCCCAGCCACTGGAGGAGGGTCCCACATGGCGCGCAGACCTCTCCTGCCGCCCGCTGCTCCCCTCAGCAGTGTCCTTCGGTCCTTCTGCCTGCTCTGCTCCCCGCTCTGGCTCTGGTGAATTCTCTCACCCTCCCGCGCTTCTGACTGTACCCAGTGCTTGTATAAACAAAACAAACAAACAAACAAATAAATAAATAAAACATGCCTCTATTAAAAAAAATTTAAAAAAAAAAGAACTAAACATGAAAAAATAAGCATCTGTTTCAAAGTGAAGACAAACATAGGCACCTTAGAAAACCGAGAGACAGTGGTTACAACGGCTGCGACCCAAACTGTGCCAGGAGACCGTGTCTCCCAAGGCCCCGGGAAGGCCACCCACCTTGCCTCATGGCAGGGTCGGGTGAGACGGTGTGTTAGCTCCCCCAGCACAGGCAATAAAAGGGGCTGCACATCCTCACCGGCCCCACCGCTGCCTGCCCATCGGGGATGTGCCCTTACCTGTCTTAGCCCGAGCGCAGTGGACTGCGACCCTGCCCCAGGGGCCAGCCTCGGCCTGGGGCTTCGCACGGACATGCTGACCGCCGAGCTTTCGGCCTGTCCCTCTGGGTGGGGGTTTCAGAAGAATTTCCTTTATTCCTCCAGGCGATAAGGTCATCCCACTCTTCGTTCCACAGTGCAGGCAATGCACCGTCTGCAAACACCCGGAGGGCAACTTCTGCTTGAAAAACCAGTAAGTTTCCGCCACTCCCCGCGCAGCCAGTGGGTCGGGCGGGCTGTGCTCCAGCCTCATGCGCACGCGTGCTTCTGCCGACCAGTTTGAAGACGCAGCGGGGAACCCTGGAGGACGGCACCAGCAGGTTCACCTGCAGAGGGAAGACCATCCACCACTTCCTGGGCACCAGCACCTTCTCCCAGTACACCGTACTGGAAGAGATGGCCCTGGCCAGAGTCGATCCGGCCGCCCCGCTGGACAAAGTCTGCCTCATTGGTTGCGGGTTCTCCACGGGCTACGGCTCTGCGGTCAAGGTGGCCAAGGTATGCCGAGCGGTGGGGGGCCAACCACACAGGCCTGTCGGGGCCTCCGGGCCCAGGACTCCAGCAAAGTAGCCCTGAAACACCCCACAGAACTCAGGGTGTCGAGCATAAGGTACTTGGGCCCGGGGAAGTGAGAGCGCGCCCTGGAAGCCTCAGAGAGACCACACGGTTGATGATAGTTAAGACAAGGCCAGGACGAGGCTCTTCCGCACCATCCACCCCAGGGCTCCAGACTTGGAGGCATTCGTGGTGCAGGGGGCTCAGCTGACCCCAGTCAGTGGCGGCAGGTAGAGGAGGGCGCGCTCGAGGAGCGCACACCCTCACGCCAGGTGCACGGAAGGAGGGTTTTTGTGCTGTGTCCTCCCGAGAGGCCTGCGCCCTGCGCTGGGCCCGGGACACACTGCTGCCCGCGTCACGCCCTGGGCGAGCACCGCGCCAGCCCCTCCTGTGAGTCTCCCTCTGCTGGTACGTGCGTGCCACAAGTATGAGCCCCGCCTGTCTGGGTCGCCGCGTGTCCCTGCCAGGGAGGAGCCTGGGGGGCACCTGGTGCAGGGTGGGAAGAGTGCAGCCCTGCCCAGCAGGGTCCTTCCTGCCTGCTTCTCCGGGGCCCTGGGGCAGTCTAAGGAGCCATTCCAAGCCAGGCTGAGCACTTGTGCTGGAACCACTGAGACTGGGGTGGGCGCTGTCACTGCGCTGTCCCACGACCTCTGAAAAGCAGGGACGATGACCAGCGTTGGCCCTGAGGGCTTCTGGCTCCCAGGCCACGCCCGCCTCCAGCCAGGGCTGGCCTGCGCCCTCGTGGCCTGACCCTCATGGCCTGCGCTGGACAGCAATCCTGCTGCAAGGGCTTGGGGGGACCAGGGCGGTGCCAAGGGCTGGCCAACCCATGGGTCTCGCACACCATGGTGGCTGTGCAGGCGCGTTGTGGGGCACAGGAGCTGGCACCGGCTGGCCACTGCTCTCCTTGGGGTGCGGTCCCCTTCGAGGGCCTGGCTAAGCACTGAGATTACAGCTCACAGGTGCGTCCAGTGTGAGCTTGAGCAAAGTCTGAGACCGGGGACTCAGCCCCACCTGTTGGCTCCAACACGAAGGACTGAAACCGCCAGGGCTGGCCAGCAGGCAGGACACGAGCGTGAGGGGCAAAGTCACGGGTGAGGCGTCACGCAGTCATCACTCAACCTGCTTCCCTGTTTCTGTGCACGCAGGTCACCCCGGGCTCCACCTGCGTAGTGTTTGGCCTGGGTGGGGTCGGCCTGTCTGTGGTCATGGGCTGTAAAGCGGCCGGGGCAGCCAGGATCATCGGGGTGGACATCAACAAGGACAAGTTTGCCAAGGCCAGAGAGGTGGGCGCCACCGAGTGCCTCAGCCCCCAGGACTCAGCGCGGCCGGTGCATGAGGTGGTGGCAGAGATGTGCGACGGGGGCGTGGACTTCTCCTTTGAGGTCATTGGCCGCATGGACACCATGGTAGGTCCTGGGGCGGCGCTGAGGTGGCCGCTGGTGCCCGCAGAGGCTCATGAGCAAGATTCCCAGGTTGTGTGTTAAGAGTGCTTCTTGGCTGCGGCTCTAAGGTGTGTTATCAGGATGGTCAGCTATTGTATGAGAAATCTCTGATCCATCTGACCAAACCTGTCTTAAGTACTATTTACCCTTTGGAGGGGGAAAGGGTTTTTTTTCAATTAAACAATTGTAAGTTTACTTAACTAATGATGAGCAAAAAAATTCAAACTCAAGTAAAAATAAATAAAAAATTCTTTTCTCAAATTAGCAAGTTTGATTTACCCCACATTCTTTTTTTTAAGATTTATTTATTTATTTATACAAGAACCAGGGTACAGGCCAGATGTGTGAGAGGGTGAAAGGATTCACCAGAGCCAGAGAGGGGAACAGAACAGGCAAAATGACGAAATACACTGCTGAGGGGAGCAGCAGGTGCCACAGGAGAGGTCTGCCGCGCCATGCGGGACCCCTGCCGACTGGCCGGGATGGAACCAGCGCTGCAGAGGCTGCGGACAGCTTCACAGCGCTGCGATCAACTGCCTGCGCTACCAGGGGAGGCCCTACCCCACATTCTTAACAAAAAAGATTTAACAATTTTATGTATTTTTTTTAAAGATTTATTTATTTATTTATGCAAGCACTGGGTACAGTCAGAAGCGCGGGAGGGTGAGAGGATTCACCAGAGCCAGAGCGGGGAGCAGAGCAGGCAGAAGGACCGAAGGACACTGCTGAGGGGAGCCGCGGGCGGCAGGAGAGGTCTGCGCGCCATGGGGGACCCTCATCTGGTGTCTGGGGATCAAACCGGCGCTGCCGAGGCTGCGGGCAGCTTTGCAACCCAGCGCTCAACCGCTGCGCCACCGGGGAGGCCCAATTTTATATGTTTTAATAGATTTCAGTTTTTAAAATATATGACATGCACTATGGCCAGCTGAATGATGAACAATTCTAGGCTCAATATCATTTCATGGGAGGAGATTCTGCCCAGTCTCCACAGCAGAGGGCAAGGGCTGGCAGAGTCAGCTCCCAACACTGGCAAGGTGGGTGTCGAAAATGGGTAGATGTTGGACAAAGGGGACAAACTTCCAGTTATGAGTAAGTTCTGGGACGCCAATGTAAGCATGTGGTTAATGTTAATATTGTATCATATGCTTGGAATACGCTAAGAAAGTAGAGCTAAAATGTTCTCACCCACAGACACACAATGATGACCACTTTAGACATGGACAGTGACCCACTGAAAAGGAAGATGATCAAGTGAATAAGAATAATTTTTTTAAGATGTATTTATTCATGCATACCAGAGATGGGGTGCAGGCCAGAGGTGTGGGGGTGTAAGGATTCACCAGAGACAGAGTGAGGAGCAGCGCAGGCAGATCCACTGAGATACACTGCTGAGGGGAGCAGTAGTGAGACAGGAGAGGTCGGCTGTGCCATGTGGGTCAGCTCTCTGGCCGGGGATCGAACTCATGCTGCAGAGGCTGGTGATAGCTTGGTAGTGCTGAGACTTAACCCCCTGTGCCCCCAGAGAGGCCCAAGAGACAATTTTTGATGATATAATCAACCTTATGTTATACAGTATTTACCATCAAAACAGTCAGTTTAAAATGTCCATTTTGGGGGGATGGGGAAGCAAATACTGTTTAAAAATTAACAATGATGTAAAAAATAAAAAAAAAATTTTAAATGTCCATTTATGGGCCTCCCCGGTGATGCAAGGGGTTAAGTCTCAGCACTATGAAGCAATTGCCAGCCACTGTGGCATGAGTTTGATCTCCAGCCTGGGAGCTGACCCACATGTCGCCGTAGGCCCCTCCTGTCTCCCCGCTGCTCCCCTCAGCAGTGTGTTTCAGTGGATCCGCCAGTTCTGCTCCCCTCTCTATCTCTGGGGAGTCCTCTCACCTCCTGCACCTCTGGCCTGCACCCCAGCTCTAATATGCATAAGTCAATAAATCTAAAAAATAAATATGAAAACAAAAAATGTCCATTTAACAAGTCAATGTAAGCTCACAGACTGCTTAAAAATCGTGTGACAACAAAACATTACCTTTATTTGTAAAATCAGCCTTTATAGATGATATATGTGTGTGTGTGTATATACATACGCATTTGTAACTATATTCTTTATTACTTTATAAGGGAGAATTAGCACAGAGTCATTCATCCATTGTCTCATTCAAAAAGTATTTTCTGGACTTTTCCAAAACCCATAGCTAGAGGTTCTGCGAAACAATGAAGAGTGAAGAAGCAAAGGGCATCATCTCTTCCCTCTACACACTCATAACCAGCCACGTCGGTGCCGAGGGCTCTATGGATCACGGGGCGGGGCGGGCTGTCAGAAGGTCCACTGTAACGATGCCACATGTCTGTCTGGTTGCAGATGTCCGCCTTGATGTGCTGTCATGAGGCATTCGGTGTCAGTGTCATCGTGGGTGTGGCTCCTGGTTCCCAGAGTCTCCCTCTGCATCCTGGGTTGCTATTGGGTGGACGGACGCTGAAAGGAGCAATTTTTGGTGGTAAGTTATTAGGCTTGAGAGCCTAATTCTTATTAACTCAGGATTTCTTCTGTTTTAAAGCAACAAGGTCAGGTTTTAAAAAGCAACATGGTTAAAAACAAATTAAAACTTGGGCTTAATCAACATTTATGGGATACTGTATTCCCTAAATCCAACTACCCAATCTTCTCAAGTGCATCGGGAACATTCACGAGGACAGACTATGTGTTAGGTCACAAAAAAAAATAATGCCAGTAAATTTTTGAAGATTGGAATTATATGAGTTATCACCTCTGAAGGCAATGGTATTAAAAGCTAGAAAGCAACCATAAAAAGAAAGCAGAATAAACATCTAATATGTGGAGACAGCACCAGATACTACTGAATAACTACTGGGATAATAAAGAAATCAAAGGAGAGATTAAAAAAATACCTGCAGACAAATGAAAATGAAGATACGCGTTACTGCAATCTATGGGATGCAGCAAAAGTAGCACAGGCCGACATCAAGAAACAAGCCAGAGCTCAAATAAATCACTTAACCTTATACCCTAAGTAATGAGAAAAACAAACGAACAAAACCACCCAATAAAAGAAAAGAAACAATAAAACTTAAGAGTGCAGATAAATGCAATAGAAAACAAAAAGACAGTCCAAAAGATCAATGAAACTGAAAACTGTTCTTTAAAAAAAAAAAAAAATCAAAGCAGACAAACCTCTAGCTAGGCTCACAGAGGAAAAAGAGGAGAAAATGCCAATGACTAGAACCAGAAATGAAAGAGGAGGTTACAGCAGACCTCTCAGAAGTACCAAGACTCAGAGGAAACCACTAGGAATAATTATATGCTGATAAATTTAATAAACTAGAAGAACTCGACAAATATTTAAAAGTACACAACCTTCTGAGAGTGAATCAGGAAGAAACAGAAAACCTGAACACAACAATCACAGCCCAGGAAACTGAAGCAGTAATTAGAGGCCTCCAAAAAAAACAAAAGCCCAATGCCAGGTGGTTTCACTAGTGAGTTCCCCCCAACCTTCCCAGGCCAACTAATTCCTACCCCCCTCAAACTCTCTGAAAAAACTGAGTAATAGGGGATGTTTCCAACTGCATTTTTGAGGCCAATATTACACTGATACCAAAAGTAGACAAGGACAACACACACACATACGCCTGGAGACCAATAGCCCTGATGAGCGCAGATGCAAAAATCCGCATTAAATTCTTAGCAAACAACAAAATTCACAAAAAGGATCACACATCATGACACAGCGGGTTTTTTCCACGGATGCAAGGATGGCTGAACAGCCACAAATTGATATTTCACCACATGCATGTATGATAAAAACTCTGGGAAAAAATGGGAATAGAAGGAACAAACCTCAGCATAACTAGGTCACATATAATGAACCCACAGCTAATGTCACACTCAGTGGGAGAAAACTGAAAGCTTTTCCTGTGCGAGCAGGTTCAAGACAAGGGCGTCTCTTTCACCGCGACTATTCAACATAGTATTGGAAATCCTAGAGCAATCAGAAAAGAGAAAGATATACAAGGAATCCAAAGTAGAAAAGGATTAAAATGATCACTATTTACAGACAACATGATAATCTACACGGAAAACCCTTAAGAGGACACCGAGAGAACTGCAGAAACAGTGACAGTGGCGTGCGGTCTGCAAAATCTGTGCACAAAAACGAGTCGTGTTCCTACACGCAGCCAACGAAAGTGAGGAGAAAGAACAGAGAACAGTCCCGTTAGAATGCCATCAAAACAGAATACCTGGGAAAACCCTTCACAGAGGAGATGAAACACTTCTATGGAACCTTAAAAGATCCTGAGTAGCCAAAGAAATTCTGACAAGAAAGAGAAAGGGAGGCATCACAATCCAGACTCAAAACCGTGTGACAAAGCGCCGGCCATCCCAGCAGTCTAGTACTGGAGTAAAAACAACGCGCAGGCCAGTGGGACAGACCTGGGAGCCCAGAGAAAGCCCACACGTGCACAGTGTGAGCCAAGACACATGCTGGGAACTGAGGCGGGGGGGGGGCACAGGGAGGCGGGCCCAGTGGGGTGGGGGTCTGGGGGCGCCGGGCGGGGGTGCGGCGTGGTCTCTGCATAACAGTGTTATAAAGCACGGTTTCCCTGATAGAAGCAATACAGTTAAACAGACAATGAAGTATAAATTCAAGTATAAATGGAGGATAATCCCTTTGTGTCTATGGAGTCCAAATGGAACGCGCCGTCCGCCTTAGCCCGAGGAGAGCTGCCTGTGCGGGCTCCTGCGTGCGAGGAGCCGGTGAACGGCAGCGGTCACTGGGGCGCCAGAGGCCACAGCACCCAGGGGGTGGACATGCGCTGCCCGCAGAGCCCTCGGGGTCTCCGGGAAACTCACTGAATTGCCTTGGAAAGTCTGCAGTTCTCTCCTCGCCCTGAAGTCTCGATCTGACGGCTGGTGTCGTTTTCCTTTCAGGCTTTAAGAGCAGAGATTCCGTCCCCAGACTGGTGGCAGAGTTCATGGCCAAGAAGTATGCCCTGGATCCACTGATAACCCATGTTCTACCTTTCGAAAAAATTAATGAAGGATTTGACCTGCTCCGTGAGGGAAAGAGGTGAATTTCACAATTCTTTGCATGGCGGACGTGGCCCACGGGAGAGGGTGGCGGGCAGCGGGCGTGGCTCTGGCCCGGACACGGCCACTGGGGGAGGCCGCGCGCGGCCCAGCAGGTCTGAGCAGAGGGTGGGCACCGCGGCGCCCGACTGCGGGGGTGGGGGGGGGAGAGGAAGGCCACCAGGCTGCGGTCGCTCGGCCACTAGAACCCGGTGATTTCCTCGCCCTGGGAAGTCCCGACATGATTCGGGCTGCAGCTCAGACTGCGAGCGGGTGTTCACGGTGAGCTGCCAGGATCCCACCCCGAGCAGAAAGGGCAGTACGCACGCCTGAGAGAGGCTGGTAAACACTCTCCTCACGGATTGTCTATAATGTGTGTCTCTATTGTGGTTTTTGAAGGTGTGCAGACCGTGTTTTCTAAAAGTATTTATGTTCTGGAAGGTCATTTTTAGGAAGGGCATTCGTTCCAGCATACATGTCACGTCTCTGGCCTTCCCGAGAATGAGGCGGCTCCCGATACAAATAAGCTTAGCATCGACTTCCAGCGCTCCTTGAGCATTTCTCTGTGGCAGTTCCCTTAAACCTTCAACACGGCCTTGCGGGGCTGCCTCTCGGGGTTTCCGTTGAGCAGCTTGGTGTCTGGGCTTAGCCTCCCCCGCCACGCCGAGAGGCACAGCCCAGAGTGAGCTCCGAGTCTCTCTCAGACTCTGCGTGTGTCAGCTGTAAGGTGGCTCTCGTATCAGAACCTGCCTCACGGCATCCTTGTCCGAGTGGGGGTTGACATGATGAAATGCACGAGGAGCGTCTAGAGAGCAGGAGCCACCCACGGCGGCTCGTGGCACCCGACGCGCGTCCGGGTCAGGACGCCGTGACTGTCCTTCCCGGAGGACAAGACGGGGCAGGCCAAGCGGACGCGCCGGTGGGAGCAGAGTGGCCTCCGGGACACCCACCTGGGCACGGTAAGTCAGCACTTCGCCGGCATGACGCTGTCTCCCGCTCCCGTTTCAGCATCCGCACGGTGCTGACCTTCTGAGAGCGCCAAGGCCCTCGCACTGCAACCCCTCAGCTCCTCCCTCTGCATCGCCAGCCAGGGAACATCATTGAGTTTTTTCTTCAGCAATGTTGTCAAGGGCCTCCCCGGTGGCGCAGCATTGAGCGCTGGGCTGCGAAGCTGCCTGCAGCCTCTGCAGCGCCGGTTCAATCCCCAGCCACAGGCGAGGGTCCCGCATGGCACGCGGACCTCTCCTGCCGCCCGCTGCTCCCCTCAGCAGTGTCCTTCGGTCCTTCTGCCTGCTCTGCTCCCCGCTCTGGCTCTGGTGAATCCTCTCACCCTCCCGTGCTTCTGACTGTACCCAGTGCTTGTATAAATAAATAAATAAATCTTAAAAAAAAAAAAAAGTAATGTTGTCAATAAATTACAGACAAGAATATGGATGTGGAATGATTTTCCAGCAAATGTTTATGATCTTAGTGAGGCAGGAACATGAGCTGGGTCACTGCGCCCCATAAACGCCCTCTCAGCCTTCTCCCCACATCAAGTCCTGTCCTCTTTCCCACCCAGGGGACACCCCATGTCTTTATTAACCACAGTCAAAGCCTTCGTTAGCCCCACACACGTGCAGGGCAGACAACTGTGCCCGGCTCCGGCTCCGCCCTGCACAGGGCCCAGCAGACGCCGCAGACGCTGCACCCCCGGCTCTCTCCTCTGGCTGCGGGGCCCCCACACAGAGGCCCAGCCCCAGGCAGGCCTGGGCATGAGGGTGGCTGTGCCTCTGGCACCAGCTCTGTCTGCACTGGCTGGTGGGGAGGAGGCAGGGAGACCCGGCAGCCCGGGCGGGAGGCGGGGCAGGAAACAGCCACAGCCCTGGGACAGCTCCCGCCCAGCACTCGTGGGCAGCAGCAGCGGGACGGCCAGCACTGCTCTTCTTCGGGGGGTAGGAGCCGCTCACCCCGTTACTGGAGCCCCAGAGTCCCCTGTTCCATCTTCAAAACTGTAAGCATTGTTGGCTAAACACTGTGCCTCAAACTCTTCACAGAGCATGAGACAGAGAGCCCACAGAGTCGGCATCTGCCCAGCGTACAGGACTTTCTGTCTCGATCATGTCAGGACTTGCTCCCATTCCCACTTCATCATCGTTTCCATTTCAGACTGAATTTCCCAATGGAAGCGTGAAGCGCTGGCGTCCACCGTCAGTTTGTTGCCAAGAGTACAACATCACGCTTTCCTGAAAATCCACATCTTACCCCACACTCCCTTCCCTCCCTATTAGCCTGTCTCCTGCACATCATTCAAAAGGTTCCAGAAGTTCCCTCCACTCCCCATAGCCCATCCTCGTAAACAAGAGTGACCCCCGCCATGTCCCCGAATCAGAGCGGAAGTGCTCTCTGAGACCATCTGTGAGAACTGAAAAAAGAGATACGGCGGCAGGTGGTTGGTAACCCCTGGGACGTCTCTCCACGCCCGACTGGCGCTCTCCTGCTGGATAGGCAGTGGCCACGCAACCGCGGCTTGAAGGAGCGCACATTTACACATTTATCCCTCATGGCTTCTGAAGGTCAGACGTTTGCGTGGCTCACACTGAAATGCTGACGTCTCAGGCCGCTGAGGCCCAGGACACTCGTTCTCAACCCCGAGATCAGGTGCTGTCTCCTCTGGGTGGGCACGCAGGGACTGCACAGGCGGCGGGCAGGCCCAGTTCCCCCCAGCTGGCCTGCCCACCGCCCGGCTTCCGGGTCACCCCAGTCTTGTGTGAGGTGAGTCAGTGTGGGAGCGAGGAGACCTCCGACTTTAAGAATCCAAGGCGAACTCCTCCCTAGGAGGTGGGAATCATGGGGGTCGCCTGAGACTCTACCACAACACGGCAATACAGCTAGGAACTGGAAACCTTCCTTGCAAGTCCATATAAATCACTACAGAAAGTAATGATCTACATTTTTAGGAATTATATAAAGATTTATAAAGCACCTATCAAATTGTTACCATGTTGTTAATGACTTCAAGACTTTCAAGAACACTGGCTTTGGAAGGAAGAGCAAAAGAGCCTCAAGAAAAGGAGGAGGAACTCCCCAGTGGCGCAGCGGTGGAGCACTGGGCTGCAAAGCTGCCAGCAGCCTCTGCAGCGCCGGTTTGATCCCCGGCCGCCAGTGAGGGTCCCACATGGCGCGCAGACCTCTCCTGCCGCCCGCTGCTCCCCTCAGCTGTGTCCTTCGTCAGTCTGCCAGTTCTGCTCCCCGCTCTGGCTCTGGTGAATTCTCTCACCCTCCCGCGCGTCTGACTGTACCCAGTGCTTGTATAAATAAATAAATCTTAAAAAAAAAAAAAAGCACACTCTTCGATTTTATGCACACACACTTGTCACACTTGTGGCCAAAACCCATGTGCTTGTGCAGAGAATGTCCATGCTCCTCAGGTGGCGTTCCCAGCACCAGCCCCGCACAGGACACACAGCCAGAGTGTCCCCGCCTCTGAGCAGATGCCATGGCCACAGGTGGTTAAGGCGAGACAGAGGAACGAGCTACCCGTTGTCTTATTTCAGCAAAGGGGTGACCAGCCAACGGGAGACGGGTGTGTGCACCTGTCCTGTGTCTCCTTACTAGTCCTGCAATGTCCTGCCAGCGGTGACCACACAGTGGGTCTGAACATCGGGCAGGGCAGATCTTCCCACTTCAGTTTCTTCTTTTCAAAATTGTTTTAGCCATTTTACTTTGATTGCTGCTGAGGGGAGCAGTGGGGAGACAGGAGAGGTCTGCTGTGCCATGTGGGTATCTCCCGGGCTGGGGATCGAACTTGTGCTGCAGAGGCTGCCGGTAGCTTCATAGCGCTGAGACTCAACCCCTGCACCACAGGGAGGCCCAGATGTGTTTTTAAAGAGCTCCTATCTGTCTCAGTAATCCGACTTCTAGGAATCCACATCACACAAACCATCCAAGATACAAGGGAATATTTTGTATAAGAATGCTCATTTGTATGTAGGATAAAATGCTTAGCAGTACTCCTAAAAGTACAATAGGGTGTGTTTAAACTGTGGAAGGAATATAATCGTGGACAAAGTTCAGCAAGGCTGGAATCACCCCATGGCTGGGACCCACTCTGAAGCCAGCCCCGCATTCCTGCTGCCCATAGCTCAGCTATTAACCAAGTACCCCACCCTGGTTTTTCAGCCTGGCTGGTCAAATCAGCTCAACTCATGGCCCCTCTACTTTAACACCAGGACTGACTTCTTCTTCCCAAGCAATTCTGCTTCTCAGATAAAGAAAACCTGGCAACCCGGGCCAGCCCACCAAGGGCAGCCACGCGGGAAAGGGTTTACCCGCCAGCCCAGTGTGGGCACGGCCCAGCACCCGTAGTGACCCCCAGCGACTCCCCCTTCCCGGCTCCTGTTGGCTCCCCCAGCGACATCCTCCCAAACCCCAGCCAGTGAACTATGACTCCTGTTCTTCCAAGTGCAGTTGCCCACACGTGGAGCGAGCCCTGGTCATCGGGACGGAGCTGGCACTGCCTCTGGGTGGGCAGCCCCACCACGCACGGCCCTGCGTCAGGAGGGATGTCCCCGCGGCCACACACACAGGCTGGCCTGGAGGAGCGTCAGCAGCGTGGCGTGCTCGCGGAATATATCCCTCTTGGGGGAAAACACGGCACTTTAATAAAGAGACATGAGACCACCTCGTCTGAAAGTCGGCCACCTGCGTGGGGCTGCCGGGAGGCACAGAGCACAAACAAGCTCTGACGGCAGCGCCTCGTTCCGGTCTCCGGAAGCTGGAGGGCACACGCAGCTAAGAGTCGCCCCAGGGAGCCCCGTGGGGACACACAGGGGCCAAGAAGAGAAGGAAGGAGCTAAAATAAAGTCAGGAAAAGAACCGCCAGATCAAGTTGGTCAGGAGAATGCAGGACTGCCGGGACAGGAAAGCTGGGGGTGAGCTTCCCAGGTGTGGGAAGTCTGCCCGACCCCCAACCCCTATCGAAGCTCCCCGAGCTGCAAAGTCAGACTACACCCTGGCAAGCTTTAAAGCCAATTACTAACCAAGTTCAAACTAATCAAGTTTAAATTTTTTTAAATTTTATTTTTTTTTTTTTTTTTTTTTTTAAAGGAGGCATGCTTTATTTATTTATTTGTTTGTTTGTTTGTCTGTTTGGTTACACATGCACTGGGTACAGTCAGAAGCGTGGGAGGGTGAGAGGATTCACCAGAGCCAGAGTGGGGAGCAGAGCAGGCAGAAGGACCGAAGCACACTGCTGAGGGGAGCAGCGGGCGGCAGGAGAGGTCTGCGCGCCATGCGGGACCCTCCTCCGGTGGCCGGGGAGCAGCCGGGGATCGAACCGGCGCTGCAGAGGCTGCGGGCAGCTTCTCAACCCAGCGCTCAACCGCTGCGCCACCGGGGAGGCCCCAAACTAATCAAGTTTAAAAGCCAGCCTATAAATTCGCCAAGCTCCGGAGCTCCAGTTACTTGAGAGCAGCCTCATCTTTGAGGGTGACTGAGAGCAGGCGGGGCAGTGAGGCCGTGGCGCCCCCACACACAACCCACCCCTCTCCCCCCCTCCCTTCCCCACCACCTCCCCTCCCCACCCCTCCTCCACCACCCACTCCCACCCCCACCCCAGAGAGGAGCCCGCGGGTGGGGCAGGTGGGGCTGGGCTGAGGACCAGTGCAGACTCCTGGTTCAGGGTCTGGTGATACCCACATTTGGTGGCGGATCTCTACTATGCGCCAGCGCCCTGCAGACACTCGAGGAGAAAAACCGGGCAGGGGCACAGGGACGTCGGGCGCCCGCGCGCCCCGGGCATCGCACGTGCTGGCTGAGAGTAACTGAGTTCTCCGTGTGGGGTGAGTCCTCCTGGGGGGAGGCGGGCGACATCCCAGGCTTGACAGCTGGGAGCCTGAAGCTGGGCGGAGCCTGCGAGGCGGCCGCTCACCCACCTGGGCTGAAAGGCCCGAGGGAATCGTGTTCCTTGTGCTTTCCAGCGGGCTGCTGGGTGCGCCCGGGACAGTTGTGCAGGGGCGGCCACGTCTCCCACCCAGGACGCCAGGCGTGAGCGCCGCCCCGACGGCGGGAGCATCCTCCGGGGCTGCCAGGGTGAGCGGGGCTGCTCTGAGCAGGCGCCGACATCACCCACCAGGAGGGATTCTGTGGCCTCTTTCCCACGACGGTGGCGATGTGAGGCCGCGTGTCTGGACCGCGCTGGACGCCCGTCCCCTGCGCGCTCTCAACCTCCAACAGGCCGCGGCTGAGGCCTGCAGGCCTGGAAGCGAAGGGGGCAAATGTTCTCCTGGACCCTGGCGGCCACCGAGTCCACCTCAGCACCGAGTGACTCGGGAGCCGGCTGGGCCTGAGCCCGTCCCTGTGACTACTGGGCTGGGGTAAACCACGTTTCCCGCCCGCCCCCAACCTTGAGAGCAGCCTCGGTAAGATATGGGCATCTTCCTGCGCCCCGCCGCACCTGCCCGCACTTTCCCTGCTCCAAGCTCCAGAGCGCCAGAGGGTTAGTGGAACCGGGTGCTGGACACACAGGCCCCTTTTGTGGACCCAGAACCGGGAAGCAGTGACGGTGAGGCCGCCCGGCCGGGAGGGGTGAGGGCCTGGGCACCTCCCCTGCCTGCTGCAGCTCTGTTTGCTCATCCTGCCGCCACTCCTGCTGGGTCAACAATGCCCTCCCGGCCGCCTCTTCCCCATCTCCACGGGTGTAGTGACTCAGACACAAAAGAGCCCTGCCCAAGACAGACCCCGGGCCCAGAAGTGCCGGGGCCGCTCAGCGTGGCCAGGTGGCGCCGGTGGGGGCCGGGGTCCCTCAGGCCTTGCCTTGGGAGGGCGTTGCGCTCTGTCCTGCCAATGGCTACCTCGACCCGCAGGCCCTGGTCCCCTCGGCTCTGAAGCCCACGCTGAGCAGGAGCACTGAGGAGCACGCGGGCCGGTGTCTGCACAGGTGTGCCCGGCGGGGCTCGGGTCAGACGGCCCAGCAGGCCCAGCCGCTTCCCACCAAGTTTCCACATCAGCGCAGGTGCAGAGGGCCGGCCGTGTCCGCGGGGTGCACCCACGAGGGAGGCGGCAGACCAAGACCCTCCAAGCCGTGCAGGGCCCCTTTCCACGCTGTGGCCACAGGTCCCCCGCCTGCCCCGCCCGCACTGCTCCAAGAACAGTCGCCAGAGGCCTCGAGCCGGCCCATTGCACCCAGGGCGGCTCACGGCTGAGGCCAGAGCCAAACCCACCCTGGGAGGAACAGTTCCTTGGCTGAGTGCCCAGGCGCAGGCCGGGAGAGGGCGACACCCCGGGGAGGACTCCAAGCATCAGCAGCTCTGAGGCCCCCAGGATCCCGGAACCTGCTGCCCCGGAAGGACAGGCTCGGCAGTCCAGAGCCATTGCCTGCCAGCCGCCCCACCACCCCAGCTTCTCTCCCCCACATCATGGCCCACAGCTGCTCGGGGGCACAGAGCCTCACCTCCCAGGGGCGCCTGGTCCCATCTAATGTTTGTGTGGAAGCCTCGGCCCACAGGAGCCAAGGCAATGACTGGGGCCCAGATCACCAATTCTGACGCCCGCCCCCAGCCCCCACCCCCCAACACACTCTGGTGCAGGAAAACCTGGAGCAAATAACCAGAGCAGACAGGGCACGGCCTGCCACGGTGACTGAGCTTGCCGGGCCTTGCCCTGCCCCTCCTCCATGCTACACAGATCTGCCTTTCTCCAAGGGCAGCTCAACTTCCCTGAACGTAAATCCTACTGATTCCCCTCAAACCAGCATTGTCTTGGGCTCTCACCACCCATCCTAACTTTGGCGTCGGGGGTGCCTGCCCATCCCGCCTGAGGCCGGTTTGAAGCCTGCTCTGTACCCGGACCTCCAAGGCCTTCCACATGTAATCCATATGCCCAAACTCCAGCGTGGCCTGACGAGTGCCGTCTCTCAGTCACCCCAGGCTGGGCCGTTCTTAGGAGCCCTCTGCGTCCTTGTCACCCTGCGGCTCCATCTGCCTCTCACCTCAACTCCACCTGATGACCTTCACGTTCTCCTTTCCTGGGGTCACTTTGGTTTGCGTTCCTGTTGATGTTTTGGAGTTACAGGACCCCCCTCTGGTGTCACCGCGTCAGCCTGCCCCAAATCACCCCAGACCCCATCCCCGGTGCTCCCTCCCTCGGGTTCGCAGCCCATCCCCCCCTCCCGTGTCAAGTGTCCTCCTGGCCCTCACATTCATGTACCTGCCAGCCCTTTGCCCCTCTGGTTTCCGCCTATGGATGGTGATTATGTAACGATGTTCAATGACTCTTCAGTGATTGTATAATGACTTTCGGTTTGTAAAACTTATAAATAGTCACTCCAGTTTGCTCAGAAGCAGAGCCAAGAAGGGACATTCTCCTGGGTAAACCTGAAGGCACCAAGGGACCCAGGAACTCCCCATGGACACGCCGGGGAAAGTAAGTGCTGCCTTTAGACAGACCTGGGTCTCGCCTCTCCCAGCCCAAGGACACACCGAGACTGAACTAAGATGTCACTTTTTCCAATCTGATCATCAAAAATTTTTTATGACAAACCCCAGCGTTTTCCTGCCTGGGGGAACTTACACCCCACTGCTGGGATATAAATTGCTAGAAAGTTCTTAGGTGGTAATTTGACAATATTGCATCAGAAGCCTTTAAAATGTGCCCGTCATTTGACCCAAATGATGATGCATGTTCTTGTCAGCTGGGTGCTGTTCTGACAGTAATGGGGAAGCGTGTCGAGTACAAGGAAGTCAATGAAATAAGTTGTGGCCTATCGTTGAACCCAGTCCTAAGGGGCTGTATGATCGCCTGCAAACTACTCAAGCTGGAGGGCACAGCGGAGGGCGGGGTGGCTAGCTAGAGCAGGTGGGGTGAGGAGGGTGTGCACACAGTCAGGTAGGTGGGAAACAAAAAGTCAAAATAAACCAAAAATACATATTCTTAATGGTAAGTGGAAGAACAGACTGCAAAACAGTATACTCAGTGGGCGCACACCTGGGCACCGGGCACGCACATGCACACACACGGGCGCACACGCGGGCACCGGGCGTGCACAGTGCACGCACGGGCGCACACACACATGGGCACCGGGCCTGCTCCCACAATGATGGAGTGCCAGTGGCCGCCAGGCTGCGGCTTTCTGTCCCCCCTAGCCTTGCCTGAGCTTCCTAGGTTCCTGCCTTGAGTGTGTGTCACCTGAGACTAGGAAAACGCCTTTCACAGAGGACGTATTTTCACTTGCGTGTGGCAAGTGAGGCAGAATTATCTGCATAAAGAGGTATTTCCTGCAGTGTTTTGCTTGGGCTTCTCTGCGGCATTTCTCACCCATCACGGGTCTCTCCCTGCTGGAGGCCCGTTTCTGGCCCAGGAGCCCCAGGCTCGGCCCCAGGCTCGGCCCCAGGCTCGGCACGCCCGCACCAGAAGCGCCGGCTGCGGGTGTCGAGCAAGGCCAAAGGCCCGGCAGGGACGGAGGGGCGGGGCGACGGGAGTGGGCTTCGGGGAGGGCGGGGCCTCGTGGAGCGCGGGGCCTCGTGGAGGGCGGGGCCTCGGGAGGGCGGGGCCTCGGGAGGGCGGGGCCTCGGGAGGGCGGGGCCTCGGGAGGGGCGCAGAGCGGGAGGAAACGCGTCCCAGAGAAGCCGCGGAGAGGACCCCGCACAGCGAGGAGCCGCCCTGGACGGAAAGCAAACGGCACGCTCACGAGCTGACAGCGACTTCGGACGACGGCGTTTTCCCGACACACCAGCGCCAAGGGTCAGGTAGGCCTGCAGCAGCCCCCGCGAGCCTCTCGCTCCCGCCTGACAGACGCTGACCTGCCGGGCCGCCGTCGCCTGGGCAGCCGACGCGCCTCTCGCCGTCGAGGACGTCCAAGTGGAGCCGCCCAAGGCAGGAGAAGTCCGGATCAAGGTAAATGCAAGTCTTTTAACCTTTACTTTTGATGGCAAATGACAGGAAATTGTTTCCCTATATTTGCAATGGTTAGTTTTGCGGGGTTTTTTGTTTTTGTGTACAAGAATTGGGGTGCGGGGGTGACAGGACTCACCAGGGACAGAGTGGGGCGCAGAACAGGCATCCATCGCTGGGGGGAGCAGCGGGAGACAGGAGAGGTCTGCTGTGCCCTGTGGGTCAGCACCCTGGCCGGGGATGGAACTCAGGCCCCGCGGTGGCAGCCTGACACTGACCCCCAGGCCACCCGGGAAGCCCCCAGTAGTTAAACTTGAACTCATGTTATTCATGTTTTCAATCTACATGCTTAAAATTTTAAAAATCTGTTTCCCAGAGCATGAGAAAAACATTCCACAATTTTGGACACTAAAGTCCAGTGTCCCTCGAAGGCGGTGCTGCCGCCACGTGGCCATAAAGCCCGCACTGGCCGCCAGCTGACCACACAGGACACCACAGGGCTCAGAGGCCAGGGCGCCAGGTCCGACCCTTACAGCCATGTGTCTCCGTCGCCCTGAGTCAGCTCTTAAGGGGGGTGGCAGCCCCTCCTGTGTCCCCGACTGTCTTGTAAGGGTCAAGAGGGATGATTCCCATAGAAGCATCTTAAGGTCTAGTCTCAGATAAAGGCAGAAGGTTCCAGGCTGGTGACGCCCACCCTTCACCCCCTGCAGCTGGTATCCTCAGGGATCTGCGGGACGGACGACCATGTGCTGAAGGGCTTGATCCCCATGAACTTCCCCTTCATCCCAGGCCACGAGGGAGCTGGGTTCGTGGAGAGCGTTGGCGCTGGCGTGAGCTCAGTGCAGCCAGGTGGGAGACGTCCCACACACAGCCCCCCCGCCCCCAGCAGCCCCAGGCAGGGACGGGACATGACACGCATCCACATTCATGGGCAAACACCGGCTGGCGACTCCGACATGTCTCAGGCCAGTGTCACCCGTACCCTGTGGCTCCAGAGCCTGGGTGCCCACCATGCTGCGGATCAGGGAGGGGCCCTCGGGCCCCATGGGGGTGGTCACTGGTGGGCTCAGCCCAGGGGGCTCAGCTGGGAAACGGATGCTCTGCCCCCCTGGGACCAGGCCCGGTGTGCAGCCAACAGGAGCAATGACATTTCAGAGAGCCGAAAGGCAGGTCCATGTTCTTACTTAGGCGCATGAAAAAGGGTCTGGACAGGCCTCAGTGGGCCCCAAATGGCCACAATGAACAAGAGCAGCCACGCAGCCAGGATGCACAGGCCCCCGGGCCTCGGCAGGGAGACACACAGAGACCCCAGCAAGTGCAGGCAGTGCAGCTCCATCCCGCACTCACTCAGCTGTGGCCAGAGGGCCCCCAGCACCAGCACAGCGGGGCACGTGGGCGGCGCCCCGTCTAGTGTCCCAGGATGTGACTCGGGGTGACACTGCAGCGCCCTTTAGCTGGACACGTTTCAGTAGAGTTCAGTGGGAAATGCTAAGTATTTGTAGAGAAAGGACGAGAGGGCAGAGCTGCTCTCTGCTGTCCAGTACCTTTAGAATTTATAGGTGGTGAAGACAAAATGTGCCTGGTCTAAACTTACAAGAGACGTTTAATACGCAGGAGCACTGCGTGAGGTCAGAGGGGTCACTTCTCTGTCACAACAATGTCTGCAGGGCACCCAGGGACCAGTCTGGGGGCTGAGCTCCGGCGCCCAGCTGCCTCCCCGGGTTTTGCCACCAGACCCAGGCTTGACCAGTGCAGTTTCCAGCTCCGTGGCCCGAAACAGGCCGCCCAGCTGCGTCCTCCACCCAGTCCAGGGAGAAGCAGGCTGACGACTGCTCACCCCGAGAATACACCCAAATTCCTGCACTCGCCAGGAAGAATGCTGGGGTTTCTGAGACCAGGTTATCTGGCATCTCCCGCCACAGCAGGGCCCGGCTGTCTGGGCTGTGATGGCCTGCCCACAGCCACTTGTGGGGCCCACAGGGAGCTCGGCAGATACATTGTGTGCTTCTGTGTGATGAAGATTTTCCGCTAATGGCCATTTCCTTCCCACACGCAGGGGATAAAGTCCTCACGCTCATCATCCCGCAGTGCAGACAATGCAGCTCCTGCCTGCACCCCAGCGGCAACTTCTGCGAGAAGCAAGAGTCAGTATCAGCCCCTCGCCCCGGTCACTGAGCCTTCTTGGCCCTGCGCGGCCACTAAGGCGCCTCCTCTCTCTCTCTCTCTCTCTCTCTTCCTGCTCCTGGCGTGCTGCCCCGTCTGGGCACCGGGCACAGTGTCCTGCCATCGTCCGGGCTGATGCAGGACGGCACCAGTAGGTTCTCCTGCAGGGGGAAGCGGGTCCACCACTCCTTCCGCACCAGCACCTTCACGGAGTACACGGTGGTGCCCGAGATCGCGGTGGCCAAAGTCGACGCGGCCGCCCCCATGGACAGGGTCTGCATCTTCAGCTGTGCGGTGCCCACGGGCTTTGGGGCTGCCGTCAACTCGGCCAAGGTGAGGGAGGTGTTATGTGTGAGCTGGCGCTGCAGGGATTTCCCTGGGCCACCAGAGCTAGGCCACATCACTCAAACACCTCAACTGTCCCAGAGGCTCAATGGTTGTTCTTGTGTCTCCGGATCACCCGTCTGGGTCTGCAGGTCACCCCCGGCTCCACCTGCGTGGTCTTCGGGCTCGGGGGGATCGGCTCGGCCATCGTCCTGGGCTGCAAAGCCTCGGGGGCCTCCAGGATCATCGGGGTGGACATCAACGAGGAGAAGTTCCCCCGGGCCCGCGCTCTGGGGGTCACTGACTGCCTCAACCCGCGGAAGCTGCAGAAGCCCGTGCAGGAGGTGGTGCTGGAGATGACCGGCCTCGGGGTGGACTTCGCCTTCGAGGCCGTGGGCTGCACCGAGACCATGGTGAGAGGCTGGCGGGGCTGCTGGTGAGGGGTGCGGTGGGGGGCAGGGGACAGCGCGGAGGCGTCTCTGCCGGGACGGGGCAGCTGGAGCTGGCATCCCCGGGCCACCCCTCATGGCCGCACCCCTCAGATGGCTGCCTGGGACTCCTGCAACATGAGCCACGGCGTGTGCTGCATCATAGGCCTCGCCACACCAGAGGCACAGCTTTCCCTGGATGCGATGAAGCTCATCTCTGGCCGGACCCTGAAGGGCGTGTGTCTGGGCGGTAGGTGCGGGGAGGGCGCTGGTAGCTGCTGACCTCCTTATCTCCCCGGAGAGCAGCTGCAGCTGCAGAGGCGCCAAAGACCTTGCCACTGAGTCGTGCATTCAACAAATCAGTTTTAGGGAACTTAATAAAAGGGTTTCTTCCAATTAAAATAAAAGCTTTATCTCCTGCAAAACAGATTTGGGGTTTTCCACTGTTTAATGATTCTGTCAGCATCTGAGGTGGACCCTTCTGCTGTGTGGCTTTCCCAGCCGCCCCTCGGGCTCCCACTGGGGGTTAAAGGAGCCAAGCCCTTGGCTCTGGCCGCACCCACGGTAAAGCAGCATCTGCCCGGCCTGGGTCCTGCGGGAGGATGTGGGGAGACACGGGGGACGCAGGGGCCGGGGTGTCCTGACAGGAGAGCACCAGGCTCTCTCCGCAGGCTCCAGGTGCAGAGCAGCGGCGGCTTCCTCACTGACAGGTGCAGGCCTCGGTGCCCAGACCGTTCTCTGCTGGTCAGTGGCACCTTCAGAGGAACAGGGGCCATCTCTATGATTTCCTGGGTCTTCTGGGCTTACTTTGATGTTTGGGAATCACCACAGCATTTTCCCCTTGCAGACTACAAAACCAAAGACTCTGTGCCCCAGCTGGTGACCGACTCCTTGCAGGGCAGACTGAACATGGACCCGCTGGTGACCCACCAGCTGCCGTTCGCCCAGCTGCACGAGGCCATGGAGCTGTACCACGCTGGGAAAACGTGAGTGTCGTCGGGCCAGGCTGTGCGCCACACCACAGCTAGGAGGGTCCGCAGAGTGGACATCATGACCTCGTGGGCCTGTGGGGCTCTTCGAGTGCTTGCTCCGTATCCTTGCACTCTCGTAGGCCGCGAAAGGGTCTCTCCTCCAGGCTACCCAGGGGCACGACGGCCTATTACAGGAAAGTGCCCTGTGGTCTAGGCCACACAGGGGGCCCCACGGATGCCACCTTGCACTGGCCAGGCCTGCATGGCTTCTGCCTAGAGGGCGGGACAAGCAACCTGACCTTCTGGAGTCAATGTCCCCCTCCAGGCAGATGCAGGCCCCAGAATGACGCCAGGCTGCGGGCGTCTGCTCAGTGTCCATTCAGCCCTGCAGGGAGGCCCCGGCGCAACTGGATCCAGCCCTGGTGAAGCTTCTATTTCCCAGGCTGCATCCCAGCAGGTCCCCTCAAGCTGTCTCCCCACAGCTGTCCCCACACTTTCTGCTCGTTTCCTGATGTATAATGTTTTAATCTAGGTCTTTAACTTAGACCCTGCTGTCAGGTGACCTGCTCAGATGGTGGTGCTCACAGAGGCGCCCCAGGGCCTGGGATGCAGGGAAGGGGGCGCTACGGCCTGGGGCGCTCTGCACAGCTGGGGTACAAAAGTGTTCCTCGGGCCACTCACTCGCCTCATTTCAGTGCTTTACATTTCAGCATCCGCTGTGTCCTGCTGTTCTGAGGTCCTGGATGACGCAGGGCCGGGCGCACCCTGTGGAGCCCCCACCCACCCGGCATCTGCTCCAGGGCCAGGGCCAAAGGGCGTCAGAGACAGAGACGCGGCGGGATTCGCAGACAGGAATAAGTGCGTCTGGGGCATGACAATAAAATAAGTTCTCAGTGATCATATGCTCCATGACTCACTCTGTGCCTTCAGGCGAGACGGGACGGGACTTAGCCACCGGCCCCCGCCACGTCCCCCTGTCAGGCCCTGCCACGACCCCTGCCCGTCCCCACTGCCCAGCCCCCACTGCGACCCCGGCCCCACTGCGTACTCCTGCCACATTCCACAAGGCCCTCTGCGTCGCCTACACTGTGCCGGGGGTGCTGGTGCCGACGGCCAGCTGGTGCGTGACCCCCAGGACACAGTGAGCCCCCCGCCTCCCTATGGAGGCCTGGCCGGTGAGCCCTCCCAGAGGGCCGCGCCCCAAACTCCTCTACAGATCGTTTCTCTTCACCAAACTCAGTCATTTTCCTCTCGGGCTGGGCATCTGGAACAAGGTGGAGAAACATTCTGCCTTTCCCTTACGTTTTTTATCTCTGCCTGAGTCATTTCCATTCTCCTTAATTTTTCACATTTTGAAACACAAAAGCAAAGAGGAAAATTCCCTTTACATCTGTTTCAGTTGCCACATCACTGCCTGGGACTCAAACCCACATGGGCCCCCAGCCCTGGGGTCACCTGCTCTCCGCGGGAATCAGCTAAAGGACCGAGCATCAAGAGACACCCCTGTGCCTGGGACTAGTTGAGTAGAGGGGAATTAAGTCACATTCCTTACTCGCTCGGCACTCAAAATGATATTTAAATTTTAAACATAATGTTAAATGATAAAATAACCAATCAAGACACAAGGGCCACTCTCAGTGTGACACCAAAGATGGAACCACGACAAAAAACCGTATTTTTGACCAAAGAATTTAAACTTGGGAGAAAAAAAAGCCATAAGTGAAGCAAAAGATACATGAAAAAGTGGAAGTATCTGTGATATATATAAAATATATCGTATATAAGAACATTTAATATATAAATATTGCTTGTAACTGAATAAAAACATGATAAAAATGGAGTAAAAGCCATCAATAAGGAGCCTGCCAGGTAAGATGCAGAAGCAGATTAGGGAGATGAAAGTCCTGCCCAAAGTCCTGAAGTCAGAAGGCGCCCTGGAGCCGCGCCCGCAGCGCACTCCCGGGTTTCAGGCTGTGTGGGGCACAGCGCTGGCCAGGCCTCTCCAGGGGTGTGCGTGTACGCAGGTGGGTGTGTACGCGGGTGAGGTGTGTACACAGGTGGGGTCTGTACGTGGGTGAGGCGTGTACGCGGGTGAGGTGTGTACACAGGTGGGGTCTGTACGTGGGTGAGGCGTGTACGCGGGTGAGGTGTGTACACAGGTGGGGTCTGTACGTGGGTGAGGCGTGTACGCGGGTGAGGTGTGTACACAGGTGGGGTCTGTACGTGGGTGAGGCGTGTACGCGGGTGAGGCGTATACGCAGGTGGGGTCTGTACGTGGGTGAGGCGTGTATGTGTGTAAGGTGTGTACGCGTGAGGTGTATGCGGTGAGGCGTGTATGCTGGTGAAGCGTGTACGCGGGTGAGGTGTGTACACAGGTGGGGTCTGTACGTGGGTGAGGCGTGTACGCGGGTGAGGCGTGTACGCAGGTGGGGTCTGTACGTGGGTGAGGCGTGTATGTGTGTAAGGTGTGTACGCGTGAGGTGTATGTGGGTGAGGCGTGTACGCAGGTGGGGTCTGTACGTGGGTGAGGCGTGTATGTGTGTAAGGTGTGTACGCGTGAGGTGTATGCGGTGAGGCGTGTACGCGGGTGGGTGTATGCGTGTGAGGTGTGCACGCGAGTGTGTGTGTGCCTGAGTGAGGCGTGTACGCGGGGGAGGTGTGTGCGCGGCCTGTCTGCGGGTGTGCACCGGCGAGGCTGCCCGCAGGGGGGCGCGTGCTCGCGTGTGGTGGACGCGGGTGAGGCGCGCGGCCCGGGCCCCAAGCTCCCCGCTCCCCGGCGCCCCCGGGGCCGCCCGGCCTCAGGGCCGCGCGCTGCCCCCTCGGGTCACCGCCGGAGCCGGGAGTTGGGGGCGAGGCAGCCCGCGGGCCCCCCAGGCCGGCGGATCCCGGGCGTGGGCCTGGCGGGAGCGGCTTCCGGGCTCGGGCAACGGCCTCGTCACCGCCGGCCGCGGTCCCCGGTGCCCGCGCGGGGCGGGCGGGGCGGGCGGGCCGGGCCGCAGCTGGGCCCGCCCGCGGCCCCGGGACGTCCTGCCCGGGCGCGGGCGCTTCCCTCGGCCGCCGGCGGGCCCGAGCGCGGGGCCTGCGACGGGGCGGCGCCCGCAGACGCGCCCCAGGGCCGGGGGGGGGGGGGGGGGCGGGAAGGCCCGGGCGCCGCCTCCGGGCTGAGCGGCCGCGACGCGAGCTCGGGGCGCGGCCGCCCGCGGGGCCCGGAGGAAGGGCCCGGGCCGGCCGCGGAGAGGAGGGCGAAGCCGGCCCTGGCCGAGCAGAGCCCCAGGCGCCGCCCCCTGCCGGCCACCCCGTCCCGCCCGGCGGAGCCGCACCAGGCGCCGCCCCACCGCTGCCCGCCCGCGGCAGCCGCCTGGGCCGGGCGCCGGGAAGCCCCTTTCGTGTCCCTTTTTTTGGTTTTACTTCTTACACCTTGTAGGGCACGTATCGGGCTTTTCTGCCCTCCCGCCGCTAGGAGAGACGAGGGAACCCCGTGGTCCTGAAGGCAGGCCTGATGGCGGCCCCTGCCCTGGGGTGCGTGCGCGCGGGCTGAGAGACTGGGCTTTCAAGGGCGGCGACACGGGGATGCCAGCAGCAGCAGCTGAGAGAGAGAGAGAGAGAGAAGGCGGGAGAGAGAAGGCGGGAGAGCCCACGTGGAGTGAAGACTTGCTGGGGGCTGGGAGGCGTGCCAGCCTCCCGCCCCCCAGGACCCCTGCCTGCCGTGTGCCTGGTAAACCCCAATAAAAGCCTGCAAACGCCACTGAGGGCTCTGACTCCTCCTTTACCTGGTCTGCTGGATCATAGAAAACCTGCCCCGTGTCCAGTCCTGAGCTTACATACGTGTTCACCTCAGGCACACCTGAGGATTCCGTATAGTTAACAGCCTGCAGGTTTCCCCTAAATAGAAGATTCGGGCTCCCGAGGTTGTAATGAACCATGGTAACAAGTTCTAATGTTGAGTGTTCTGACTGATATTTAGCAAATGCATTAAAAATACGTTTTAAATTGCTTGACTTGCTTCCCAAAAGAATTTAAACACAGATGGTTTAGGTCTTTGAGGAGCTCAGGCTACAATTTAAGAAGCATCTCAACCACCAGAAATTCGGATTATCAGATCAGTGACCTCACGCCTCCCCCTGACAGATTTTCTGAAATCTCACTCTGGACCCAGCTGATAAGAGCAGACAAAGGCTCGATTGTCCCGTCCCAATGAGGATACAAACAGCGAAAGAATGTGGGGTGGGATCCCGAGCAAGCACTTCCAGAATCTCCAGAAAGTGAAGCTTGAAGAATGCGGGAAGGTGATGCCTTCCAGCCGCACCTCACAGGGCCTGTGGGGCTGCAGGGCATGAGGCCCCGGCTGACACGGGTGGCTGACGGGGGTGACCGGCCTTCCCGGCCTGTGTTCACTGGGGACACCTGGAGCTGCCCCTTCTCGAGCAGCCCCCCAAGCCCTGCCCCCCTCAGAAGACCGAGCGGTGCTAGGGAAGTAGGAACCTCTAATACGATTAGTGTGCACTACAGACAAGGCAGAAAACAGTTTCTAAATCCAGCACCCAAGGGCACCCTCCCGTCGTGGGTAAATGCACCCAAACAGGCTTGGCCCAGAGCTGCCCCAGTCTAAGGCCCCTCCTGGCGGGGACCCACAGGAAAGGGGCAGTAACAGCCCAACAAGCCTGGGAGGAAAACAGCAACATCAAATCGGGATAAAAGCCGCCACTGTCACGTCCCCGGGTCTCCCCCGTGTCTGTGTCACCCAGTCCGGGACCAGGAGCCAGCGCAGCCTCCTCACACAGCTCTGCGCCACGCGCTCCTCCAGGCTCCTCCTGCCCGGCCTGTTTCCTTCAGTCCCTCCTCCAGCAGGGAACTCGGAATCTCCCCTGTGCTGGGCCATTACAGGACCTCCAGGCATAGCCTTCACGGGACGGCGTCTGCCAAGGGCGCAGCTCAGCCGTGGGGCTCACAGTGCCATCCCAGGGGCACAAACACCTTTTTCTGTGGCATAAAGTGTTCGCCACTGTGGGTGTGCAGTTGGGCCAAGCCGTGGACGTCTTTTGGGGAGTTATGGCTATACGTCAAGGCATCTCCTCTGGCCTGCTGCGGTGTGCGGGCTTCTTCCTTGGAGTCTGCGGTTGGTGTCGCCCTCGCGGCAGGCACTTCCCGGGTCTGGGATGCCCGGCCGGCCCCCAGGGGCATGCTCCTAGCACCCGCAGCGGCCCAGGCAGCGGCAGCGCATTCTGTGAGGTCTGGCAGACCCCAGGGGCTCCCTCCCCCTCCGCCAGAGCCCCCGCCTGGCCTGATCCACCTGGGCTCCCCACGCAGGGCGCCAGAAGCTGCTGGGGCACGGCTGCTGAGACACAGCCTGCCCCTGGGGGCTCGTGAGGCCCGGGGGTGGCCGGCAGGAGGGGCCTGTGTGTGGCCCGGACAGCAGCCCCAGGCAGGGCACTGGCTCCAGGTGCCCCCTCCCTCCCAGCCCCTGGAGTTCAGAGGTCACTGGGGCCTCGTCTGGCAACACATAAGCCTCGGCCCTGGACAAACTGTCCATTTCCTCCTAAGGCTCACGCAGACAAGGGCTTTTCTGTTCATGCACAAAGCAGTCCACAGTGACCCAAGCAGGGCTTCAGTGTGGGCAGGATGCTGGACAGAGCGGCCAAGCGGTGACCCCACGGGCTGGAGCGGCAGGTTCCTCCACCTTCCGTGATGCTATTGAAACCTTGGAGAATGAAACCTGGCAAACCAGGCCACGCAGGGCTGATGGTGTGCTTTATGGCAGCTCCTTGCACAATTCATGTTTGTGCATAGGCCCTTACGCCTATGATTTTGCCATTAGTAATGACACAGACTTTTGTGAAATGCAACTCATGAGTTTATATGTAATTTCAGACAATGCCAGATTTAGGAAAGCTGCTTGTAATGTTAGGCAATCCACATGGAGCTCAGGGGACCGGAGGGGGGAGGTCAGGAGGGATTCCAGGCCACACCTGCTCTGCAACAGAGTGAAAAAGTCTAATGAGGGCAACCAGAGAGGACCTTGCTAGGTTCTCTATTAAAAGCGCAAAGCCCCGGGAGGACTCTGCAGGAGCAAGCTGAAGCCTGGGGTGCGGGCAGGATCCAGGCCTCGCCAGCCCCCCCCCTGCTTGTCCAAAAGACCCCAAGTGAGCGTCTTCACTGCGCCAGGCTGCTAGCTCCTCGAGCGTCCGCAGCGGCCTGCTCCCTCTCCTGGAACTGTCGCTCAGGCCGGCGTATGGCTGGAGTCGTAGCGCGTGCTCAGTAATCTAGTCCAGGGAAAGAGGAAGGGACGGAAGGGCCTGCAGCAACTCAGGCGACAGAGCCGCTCGGGGTGGCAGGGCTCGAGCTCAGGCCAGAGGGACAGTGGATCAGGTAACATTCTACCAGCGGTTGTTCTGTTTGACGAAGAAACAGACAAGATTGGGTGAGTCAGCCGTGAGACCCTACACGGACCTGCACTGGATTTGCCGACTCAGCAAAGTGTCATGACCCCCTCCGACGACCCCGCACAGACCCCACCAAGGGCCTCGGCGCCCGTCGCCACACGCTGGCTCACTCCTCATATAAAATGCTAGAAAGAGGCCTAAAGGCCTGGAACAAGTAGCTGCAGGACTTTCCTACTAGCCTTCATGCCAGTGACTAGGCCATGGTGGTTCTAATTGACTGTAAAGAGCGGATGAGTAACATAAAACGTGAGAGACGCGGGGGCGTCTTCCCCCACATGCACCGCAGGAAGAATCACTTTAGATCAGAGCGTCTGGGCTCCTGTCCGGACTCGCCAGAACATGGTCGCAGGACAGTGAAGGGGCAAGTAAGTAAAATAATCACATTAAAGACACGGCAAGTTCGAATCACCATGGTTTTCAATGGAAATTCGATTTTGGAAAAATACAGTGTTCATCCTCCTGCATTTTTTTCAAAGTTTTTTTTTTTTTTTAAGATTTATTTATTTCTTTTATACAAGAACTGGGGTACAGGCCAGAGGCCCTGGAGGGTCCGAGGATTCACAGAGCCAGAGCGGGGGAAAGCCCAGGCAGACTGGCGAAATACACTGCTGAGAAAAGCGCGGGCAGAGCCTGTGCGTCTAGAGCAGGGGGAGGGCTGTCAGCCAGCGCCACCTCCATTCTGTTTTTTTAGAAGTGGGGAAAAAACCATCTCTTTAATTTTGTTGCTTCTTTGATGCCGGTTCCTCCTCCGCGAGCTTCCACAAACCTTCACCAGTCTTTTGAACTTTTCTCTCCTCATTTTTTACATTTCCTCATTATTCTTCCCCCCAAATCAAGGAATCGGAAACCTTATGTGCGCTCCAGCTAAAAGCAGCCGCAGCGAGGCTCTGCAGGCCGGCTGCTGCCAGCCCGGGTCGGCTGCAGGAGACCCCGCGGCCCCCACCGCCGGCCAGCGACCCGCAGGCGAGGCTCCCCGCTCCTGCCTCTCCCGCTTTTCTTTCCTAAAACCCCATTTCCTTCCTTCCTTCCTTTCAGTAATTCCTTTTCTTTTCTCTTCAAGTCGTCTCACCCTCTTCCCCTCCCCGCTTCCCTCCCTCAACCGCCCGCCTTCCCCGCCTTCCCCTCCCACCCCAGGGGTGCAGACTATAAACCCCTGCGAGTGCCGACCACGGTCGTGTCTTGTCTGGCGAGGGGCATCAGCGGCGCATCTGCAGCGCGGGGCGATGGAGCCAGCCGGGGCGATGGAGCCAGCCGGGGCGATGGAGCCAGCCGGGGCGATGGAGCCAGCCGGCCTCTCCACGGAGCGGGCGAGCCAAGTAAGTGGCGGCTGGGCTAAACACAGTCTGTGTCTGAGCGACCTGCAGGGAGGACTTTGCTGCCAAAGGCCGCGGACAACCATCTTTACACAATGCCAACATTCCTGGCAATTTGTTAGGGGCATTTTTAAGAAATGAGAGCGTACGTGTGGTAAAATCAGAAATATTCGTATTTAAGGAAATGTCTTAATCAGTCTTTCTGTAAAGTAAAAATATTCTTAGATGAAGCTAAAATCATCCGCTAACTGCAGCCACCTATTTTTTATCTTTATTTTTTTCCTGCATTTTGAAATCTTTATTTCCAGTTTATACTCTTCCAGTTTTTCAAAAATTCTTTTTTTTTAAATAATAAATTTTATTTTTATATTCCCCCATACAATTGCAAATGCCCCATTCTGACCCCAATCCCTCCCCTCCCGGCCCCCACCCCCCAAAAAGTGTCTCTGGTTCATAGTTTTTTGTTGATTTTGATTTTCACTTTCTTATAGTTATTCGTTTTCCTGGTCCCTTATTTAAGTTTTCTAGATTCCTGCTATGAGTGAGACCATCCGGTATTTTTCTTTTTCTTTTTGGCTTATTTCGCTGAGCATGACCCCTTCCAGCGCCATCCATGTTGCTGCAAATTGCATGTGTTTATCTTTTTTGAATGCTGAGTAATATTCCATGGTATATAGGTATTTTTTATCTTTAAATCGTAAGTATACATATATTTTGTTTTTAAAATAATTTTAAAAACAGGCCATGTGTATGTATGACTTCCCAGCATCGCTGACCTGAGTAGGTCCACTCTGGTGAGCTGCTAACCATTTCAGGTGCTGGTGCAGGCAGAGGGAGAATAAAAAGTGCTTTGGGGCATGTAGCAGTAGTAGTGATGGACGGGGCTGGGGGGCAGTGTAGCAGGAACAACCCGGTATGTCATGTGCCAAGTTCCAGCTCTCCAGGCCAGAAACGCCCAGCCCAGCCACAGAGCCCCCCACTTGGCTGGCAACCGCAGGGGGTACATGGACTCGACACAGAGACGGGGCTAGGCCCAGAGGCAGGTGACGCGTCCACCCAGCCCCCCAGGCCAGCCTGCCACCCAGTGGCAGCAGGTCAGGCTCCGCCACTCTGACAGACCCTCCTTGGGAGCGAGGCTGTCTGTGGCAGCCACCTAGTAATATAGGGGAAACACAGATAAATATTTAAGCTTGAGCTAAACAGACAAGTGTGTCATTGGGAACTAAGTGCCAAGGTGAGAGAAAATGCTCCAGGAGGTATTTCGTAAGAATGAATTTGACCAAAGAAGCAAAATTAATATTGTTTCTTTTGTCCTATATCCAAAGGTAACACCCAAGTTTTCATATTATTTCCTTTGCATGATGAATTCAAATCTTCTCTATTTTAAATAAATGAGTGATATTAGAAGTTATAATGCAGAAATTTAGACTCTAGAAACGGAACTGAGCTTCACTTGGCCAAGGTTAAAATCTTGTGACACCTGGAATGTGGGAGGAAAAAACCCTAACAGGAAAGAGGCTCTATGAGATGCCTGGAGCAAAGCGAATTTTTTTTTTTTTTAAGATTTATTTATTTTTATACAAGAACTTGGGTACAGGTCAGAGGCACAGGAGGGTGAGAGGATTCACCAGAGACAGAGCGGGGAGCAGAACAGGCAGACGGACAGAAAGCACTGCTGAGGGGAGCAGCACCATGTGGGACTCTCCCTGGCTGGGCCGGGAATCGAACCAGCAGTGCAGAGGCTGTGGACAGCTTCACAGTGCTGCGCTCAACCCGCTGCGCCGCTGGGGAAGCCCAGCAAAGTGAGTTTTTAAGCTAAGATGCAGGGGTGGGTGGACGTGAAGCTGCGGCGTCTGCGACCCCAAGTCGGTCTGTGTGCGAGAGCCGCTCCACTCCGGCGTCTGCTCCCCATCACCCTCTGCACTCCACATCTCCCATTACCTTCTCCCCCCATTCCACTTAATTAACTTACTCGTCTTACGTGTCTTTTTAACCAGCTGACAACAAAAGATTTCAAAGGCAAGCACAGGAGCTTGCGGAGTCCTAAGAAAACCCAGCTCCTTCGTCGTCAGGAGCCCAGGCCCAGTGCGCAGTCAGAGGCCGCTGCCGGCCACGGCGGGAAGCGCCCTCTCTGCTTTCGGAGGAGCTGCCCTCTCTGCTTTCGGAGGAGCTGCTTAAAAATTCACACTCTAGAAAACCCTTCACAGTTTCTTATCACAGTATTTTAACTTTGCCAGTCAGCAGACGAGAAAACAAGGCCCGTTTGTACACACACACTACTGATGGTGACGCTTAACTCCAGACTGCCCGACGGAGAATTCTCCCCCGCTCCCCTCACCTCTCTGTGCCATATTGTTCTGTTTTTCTCTTTAACTTAGGACGAAATTATATCATTTCCCTTAGCCAAAAACACATCTCCATACCTCAGAAGTTTTTTTAACCAAAAGCACACATCCTATTTTCTTTGCATATAAAAATATTTCTCCTACTATTTCCAGTAGTGTTAGTTACATTTATTAGAATTATTAAGGCTTATAACCCTTACTTTTTGGTGAAAACTAAGAAGCAAGCAGTTGGGAACTGAGGGGCCAGCATTTCTAGACAGGCACCGTGTGCACCCAACACCCCGCCCCTCTTGGCCTCACAGTGGGCAGCCGCCAGGCCACCGGCTGTGTGACTCGGTCTGGACTTCCGCATGCCGAGCTCGCCAGCCAGGACACTTTCTCAGGACACACTCTGTTGTTAGCTAGGCAGACTGCACACTTGATGATTTCTGGAAACATATACCTCCTTCCAGGACAAGTGTTCGATGTGGCACAGACTAAGACCCAAATTTAGCTTTAGTGCGTGTGCAGTAAGAAGACAAAAGACAAATCTTTGTTTAGTAATTAGTGCTTTGGTAGTTGATCTTACCTGAATGAGCTAGATAGCAATGGATTCTCAAACTTTTATGCTAAGGGTATGAGTTACAAAAGAGGCTTGGGGAACCATATAAGTAGACATGTAAAAAATAACTGCAGAAATGTCCGCCTAAAAATTCGTGCCCCACTTACATCTATTTAAGCCAATTGCGCCCAATAACTGTTTACTTGGGGGACCAGAGAGGCTTATCAGAGGGATGAGCTGGGGGCAAACTGCAGGCTGCTTGCTTAAGATCACACTCCCGGGAGGGGCTGATATTGCAATTCAGAGAATATTGATACTGGCTTAACATAACCAGCTCTAGTTTGGGGCCTGATGTTTCTCAATCCTACCTGCAAAAACTTGATAAGATATTAGATAAAATCAGCCATCATCCCAAACTACTTTGTTTTGGGGGCCAACAAGTTTTGTAACAGTGGTAACACGAGCTTACTGGCTAACAGCCCGCAGACAGCAGTGCTGGCTCACTGCGCCTGAGCTGGAAATGCTGCAGCCGTGCCTGGTTTAATGAAGCCAAGAAACATAAGCTAGCTTTTATTTACCAAAGATTGTTCCAGATCATGTGAACTTAAAAAGCATTGGGCTAGTTTCTAGATTTATATAAGGGATTATTTTATGCCAATTAGATGGAGCTCTTTCACAAAAAATTTGGCAAATTTGGACATAAAAAATATCTTACATCTTGGGCCTCTGGATGATGCAGGGGGTTAAACGCAGTGCTGTGAAGCTGTCCGCAGCCTCTGTAGCACGAATCGATCCCAGGCTGGCCAGGGAGCTACCCACATGGAGCAGCAGACCTCTCCTGGCTCACCCGCTGCTCCCCTCAGCAGTGTACTTCTGTCTATCTGCCTATTCTGTTCCCCACTCTGTCTTCGGTGAATCCTCTCAGCTCCCATGCGTCTAGCCTGTACCCCATTTCTTGTATGCATAAATAAATAGATCTTTAAAAAAATAATAAGTTACATCTCTAATTGCAGGGTGTGTGGGGTGTGGGGGGGCTGTGGAGTGTGTGTGTGTGGTGTGTGGGGGGGGTGGAGTGTGTGTGTGTGGTGTGTGGGGGGGTGTGGGGTGTGTGTGGGGGGTGTGTGTGGGATGTGTGTGGGGGGAGTGGGGGGCTGTAGAGTGTGTGTGTGGTGTGTGTGGGGGGAGTGGGGTGTGGGTTATGTGTGGGGTGTGGGTGTATGGGGGTGTGTGTGGGGGATGGGTGTGGTATGTGTAGTTGCTCTCAGTGCCGTCAGTGTGTAGCTGTTCTAAGTGTCCTCAGCGGGGTGGTCAGCAGTGCCCTCAGTGGCTATGGGGCCATATGTCTCACTGTGGGATGCACCCGTCGTGCTGTCTCCGGCAGGTCATCCGGTGCAGGGCCGCGGTGGCCTGGACAGCAGGTGCACCCTTGTCCATCGAGGAAGTTGACGTGGATCCACCAAAGGCTGGCGAAGTCCGCATCAAGGCAAGTGCGGCGTGCCTGCAGCGGGCCGGGTGTGGGGACACGGGTTTCCCATCTTGTTTGCAGTTTTCCTCATCCGTGGGTGTTAAGTGTTATCCAACGCGCTCTCTGCATCTACTGGTACTAAGACTTTTATCCTTTTGTAGAAAGGCAATATATTGATTTGCGTATATTAAAAAAATCCTGGGCCTCCCCGGTGGCGCAGCAGTTGAGTGCTGGGTTGCGAAGCTGCCAGCAGCCTCTGCTGCACAGGTTCAATCTCCGGCCACCAGAGGAGGGTCCCACAGGGCGCGCAGACCTCTCCTGCCGCCCGCTGCTCCCCTCAGCAGTGTCCTTCGGTCCTTCTGCCTGCTCTGCTCCCCGCTCTGGCTCGGTGAATTCTCTCACCGTCCCGCGCTTCTGACTGTACCCAGTGCTTGTATAAATAAATAAATAAATCTTTAAAAAAAAAATCCTTGCATCCCTGGGATAAATCCCACTTGATCATGATGTACATTCCTTGTGATATACTGTTGAATTCAACTTTCTACTATTTGGTTGAAGATTTTGGCATCGATGCTCATCAGGAATCTTGGCCCATGCTATTATGGGGATGTTGGCTTCATGAAAGTTATTAGGAAGCATTCTTCCTTCATGGATTTTTAAAAACAGTATGGCCAAGATGGGTATTAATTCTTCTTTAAAGGTTTGGTAAGTTTCATTTGTAAAGCCTTCTGTAACTTGGCTTTTGTTTGGGGGACGAGTGGTCGATCTTTCAATTTCCAAATTTGTGATTGCTTCCTTCAACTTTTGTGTTTCTCCCCAGGCTAGTCTTGGTAAACCATACTGGTCCTGAATTTTGTTTCTCCACAGCAGCAATGCGCTGGTGTCCATGTGTTCGTAATACTCTCTCCTGGCCTTTGCTTCTGTGCCATCTGCGGGATCGTCTCCTCCTTTGTTTCTGAGTCTGCTTATTGCTGTTTTCTCTCTCCTTTGTGAGCCTGGCTAGAGGGCTGTCTGTTTTGTTTATGTTCTTGAAGAAACAACTGTTAGTTTCATTGATCTTTTGTATGGTCTTCTGATCTCCAATTCGTTTCTTTCCACTCTTATGTTGTTGCCTTCCTAACTTTGCGTCTTGTTATTCCTCTTTTCCAAGTGCATGAGGTGCTGTGCTGTACTAGGCTTTTTATTTGGGATCTTTCTTGCTGCTTTTTTTTTTTTAATTTGAAAGCAGTTACTATTATCTGACCAGATTACAGAAGAATATCAAGGTGGACACCTTACTTCATCCTTCTAGTAAACCTGTTGATCTCGTCTTCCCTGTTGCCAGCATCTGCACCTTCTACAAAACGGTGGCGTCTTCTTCATTCCATGTCATGGAGAAGATAATCTGACAGGCCGGGGGAAGCTGGAGCATTTTCCAACAGTACAGATTTCATGAATCAGATCCTCCGTACCAGTGACGCCATGTCTATCCAGAGATCGAGCAGTCAATGCGTTGTCCATAGGCCAATTCTCTTCTTGTCGATTTTGCCATAACCACACTTACAGATTGAATCATTTACTGACTTGAGGTGTGGACCACCCCCCCTCACCCCTTGCAACATGTGGTTCCACGGCCTTCAGCATGTCAGCAAATGTGCTGCTGAAGATCTGGTGAAGGCAAAGAAGCTGTAACACCCTTCTGACCTTTGGGCTCACACCACAGATACCTCTGATCTGATGACACACGCCAATGTGGGTTTAGCGGTTATGTAGAAATTCCCAGCTTGTCTTGCCTTTCGAATCTCAGTTCTGTACATCTGCCTGTGTTCCTTGTGCTAGGGCTTAGCCCTTTCATAGATAAGCTTCCTCCTTGGCCCTTGAAGCATCTTTTGGGCAAATATCTTTCTCAGGTGCTTGATCTTCAGCTCTGGAAATTCCTTCGTTTTTTCGCAGTGGTTTCTGGCACAGCAGCACCTTCTTTCTCTTCTCCTCTGCAGCCTCCATGGTTCCGGCAGGAAAAAGAAGTTGATTTCTTTCTTTTTAATGTGGGCCTGCATGCCATTATCTTCCTTCTTGACACCTCTTTTGCTGTATCCCGTAGATTCTTGGGGACGGAATTGTACCCTCATTTTTGTTAGTCTCAAAGTATTTTCTTATTTGTGTTTTAATTTCCTTTTGACCCAACAGCTACTAAGCAACATTTTGTTTAGTCTCTATGTATTTATGTTTTTCACATTTTTTAAAGTTGACTTCTAGCTTCATGGCATTATGGTGAGAGAGTACTCGGTCTAAAGTCTATCTTTGTAGTTTCATTGACCACGTTTTTCACAGAGTCTAACAGTTACTTTTATTTTGCTTTGCAGTTTTTTCCCTTTGGTTATTTACATGCTACAAATGAGCAAAACCAGGTAGTAACTGTCTTTCACGCTCTGACTTATTTCAGTCACCTCAAGTTCTATCCATACTGCTGCAAAAGGTTTCACCTTTTTTTTTAGTAACTGAGTCATGTTCCCTTGAGAGTGTGTGTGTTTGTGTGTGTGTGTGCGTGCGTGTGCGTGCCTCACAACTTCTTCACAACTTTCTTCTGTTTAAGTGGAGCTATCAAAACAGACCGTGAAGTGTGGCCTGTGAACACAGAGCTCCTCATCTGAGGAGCTAGGAATTAATTCAGTGGTGTCTGTGATCCTAAAGAGGCCCAGGGGACACGACAGAAAGACAAGTGGAATGTTCCCGCGTCAAGACAGCAGCCTGCTGGCAACACTCTGCAACACGTCAGATTTATGTCCCAGGCTTCAAAAAACCAATTCTACCCCCACACGTGGAAATAATGCATTTTTCCGGACAATTCCATTTTATGACATTTATCGGCATTTTTCTCTCCAATCACGCCATTGCCTTCCAGATTCTGTCTTCTGGGATCTGTGGGACGGACGTGCACATCCTGGAAGGGAGAAACAAAATGCCTTTCCCTGTGATTCTTGGCCACGAGGGCGCTGGAGTGGTCGAGAGTGTGGGGGAAGGCGTCACCGGCCTGAAGCCAGGTAGGTGCCGGGGCAGGATACAGGCCAACCAGTCACCCCACGTTTCCCAACCCCCTGGCACGTCCCCTAACTGCCAAAGAGAGAGCTGAACTCATCACACATCAGAAAGAGATATAAATGCATCCACCCCACAAGTATAAAAGGCAGAGTCTCCTACTTTGTATTTTACTAAAATCTCTCAAAGACAAAGATAGCATCTCTACTCATTTCTGCAGAGATAATCTCTAGTCTACTTACTCCAAATTAAGCTAAAAATTGCCAAAAATACACAATATATTGGAGTATCCTTGCATTAAACATGCATATGGTTAAGAAGCTTCTTCCTGTGCATGTGCACAAGCGCGCACACGCACACACACACATGCACACATACACAAAACTAACCCTTTAGGTTGTCTGAACCAGGCACCTTCTGTATATAGTCAAGTTACTCCAGAATTTGTAGTTGCTGCTTCTGCATCAGACATAATTCATGTTTTTATTTATTTATTTATTTATTTGTTTGTTTGTTTGTTTGTTTTGTTTATACAAGCACTGGGTACAGTCAGAAGCGCGGGAGGGTGAGAGGATTCACCAGAGCCAGAGCGGGGAGCAGAGCAGGCTTCTAGAAGGACCGAAGTACACTGCTGAGGGGAGCAGCGGGCGGCAGGAGAGGTCTGCGCACCATGTGGGACCCTCCTCTGCTGGCCAGGGAGCAGCCGGGGATCTAACCGGCACCGCAGAGGCCGCGGGCAGCTTCGCAACCCAGCGCTCAACCGCTGCGCCACTGGGGAGGCCCCATAATTCATGTTTTAAACACTTTGTAAGATGTTTTGCAACTCTGACAATAAATATCTATCATAGACCAACAATTCAGTTGAACTAGCTGTTGAATGGCACAGCTAGGAGTAGAACACAGGGCTGCCTGGGAAAACTCTGGGCTGTTACTCAGCAACATCGCATGCTGTGCGCTAATCCCAGCAGTCACGCGCACTGCTTCTCTCTTTGAACAGATACTGACTGAGCAGACACAAGGGTCGACATTCGGCTAAGTCAGAAAACACACACAGGCAGGCCTCCCGCTACGGGCACCGGGGCCATCTCACTACGCTCTGTCACTTTTGACCCTCAATGTCATTAGTGACAAATCCTCAATTTTTATTTTGTATTCTGAAGGTCCATTTGCGTTATAATTAATGTTTCCATTCCAAAATGAAATAATACAGCTTAAAAAGAATAGCTATTATTACAACAAATTGATAATGTCCACCATGGACAATTTCCTGCCAATACACACGGTGTTGGCAGCGCCGGGCCGCCCGCTCCCCGGCAGCCATTCCGCTCTGCTCTTCTCTCCACAGGAGACAAGGTCCTGGCGCTGCCGCTGCCGCAGTGCAGAGAATGCAGCTCCTGCCTGCACCCCAGGGGGAACTTTTGCCTGAAGGAAAAGTCAGTCCATGTCCCGTGTCCCCTTTCGCTCGATTTGCGTTGGCCGCGCTGGTGCTGAGTGGGGCTGACGCTCCCTTCTCTCCCCGCCCACGGCCAGCGTCCTGTCTCCCACCGGGCTCATGCTGGACGGCACCAGCAGGTTCTCCTGCAGAGGGCGGAGGATCCACCACCTGTTCGGGGCCAGCTCATTCACGGAGTACACGGTGGTGGCCGAGATCGCGGTGGCCAGAGTCGACGCGGCCGCCCCCATGGACAGGGTCTGCATCTTCAGCTGCGAGGTGCCCACGGGCCTCGGGGCTGTGCTGAACACAGCCCAGGTGAGCAGAGCGTCGCGAGCCTCCACGCAGAGGCCGAGGGCTCTTCTTTCCCCTAGCGCGGGAGAGTCGTGTGGTCTCTCTTCTGGGTCTGCAGGTCACCCCTGGCTCCACCTGCGTGGTCTTCGGGCTCGGGGGGATCGGCTCGGCCATCGTCCTGGGCTGCAAAGCCTCGGGGGCCTCCAGGATCATCGGGGTGGACATCAACGAGGAGAAGTTCCCCCGGGCCCGCGCTCTGGGGGTCACTGACTGCCTCAACCCGCGGAAGCTGCAGAAGCCCGTGCAGGAGGTGGTGCTGGAGATGACCGGCCTCGGGGTGGACTTCGCCTTCGAGGCCGTGGGCTGCACCGAGACCATGGTGAGAGGCTGGCGGGGCTGCCCCTGGGGTCCGCGTCACTGACTCACGAGACGCGAAAGCACTGCCGTTGTTAAGTAGCATCTGAGCGCCTCTTGCGTGCTTGCATTATGCTGAGCTATTTACTTGATTTGCCCCATTTTATCTCCATGGCATATTATGAATTAAAACTAACATTCCCTTTTAAAGGTGGGCAAACTTCATGGTAACAAAGTGAAGGCAGTTTGTCTACGAGGTCACGGGGACCGGGCTCTCCTGCTGCTTCTCCCCACCTCGTAGCTGCTCTGAGCGCGTCTTGGGGTCACGCGTCAGTGCGGGGGGAGTGGGAGTGGCTGAGGCCACCCGGTCCATCTCTGACCCCAGGTCGCGGCGCTGGAGTCCTGCCGGCTGAGCTACGGGGTGTGCGTGATCATTGGAGTGGCGCCTTCCGACTCAAAGCTCTCCTTCGACCCGTCGCTGCTTCTCTCCGGGAGGACCCTGAAAGGGGGCGCCCTGGGAGGTAGGTCTGGACCCCACACTGTCTTTGCCAAGAACCGGACACCCTGATTCTCCTTCGCAAAAAATAGAGGGGTGAAAAGGCAGGAACATCCACGTGACAGGAAACAGAAAAGCACAGCTCGGCCTCCCCGCAGGCGCCAACGCAAGGGCAGAAGCAGCCGCGCTTCGCACTGTTGTCACAGCAAGACACCGTTCCGGGGGCCAGACTCCCCATCGCAGGGGCGTCCCCCTCCTCCACCACACAGGCTGAGACGAGGAGGCGTCTCACTGCTTGACCCCCACTATCACTCTAACCAGCCCGCCCAGCTTCCTGTTGAAAACCAAGGCCCAGAGCGCCACCTGAGCCCCTCTCCTGGCCCACACGGGGTGCTCCGGCCAGCCCTGCCCCGGAGAGTGCGGCCTCTGTGGTGCCGGCAGCCACTGAGCCCCCAGGGTCGCGTGTTTTGACCTTTTTCTTCATTGGAGCCACACTGTGTTCCTGCACCAGGCAAGCGCCAGGAGCGCACGGCCAGTCAGCGTGCATGGGACGGGGTTCTGGTGGGGCGGGGGTTCACCTCTAAGGAAGGTTCCGGCAGCGCGCTGCGAGTTTGCAGACAGGAGGGTAACTGCTCAGTCTCAGGCGGGGGAGGCCATGTTCAAAAGGGCAGGTGTCTCGGGGGAAGAGGCCAGGAGGAGACGGTGCTGGCGCAGACGCAGGCGGGAGACAGAGCTGCTGCTGAAAGGGGCCGGCGGGTCAAAAGAGGGGCCGGCACAGGCACCAGCGGGCGGCCTGGGGACTGGCAGCCTGGGGACAGGCACTGCGGTTTGCCAAGGAGGATCTGTTCTGACACAGTGTTTTTTGGGGGGTTCACACCTCCGTGGACCATCTCCATCTCTGTAGGAGTCATCACCTAAAGATTCCCTGTGCCTAAGGAATTCCGTAGGAGGTTTAACGACAACCTTAGTCACTTCCACCCCACCTCCAGTTTCTGGCCTTGTGAAGCCTCCGGCCCAAGTTTCTGCTCTAAGGCTGCACCGCATGCGCACCACATGAGGCTGGCCGCTGAATGTCCACTTCGGTCGCTCCCCACGTCGCTGCTCCCTTTTCTCCAATTTCCCCACCTTCCTTCCCCGTTCCCTTCTGGTGAACACAAGTCGATCTAGAGTCCAAAAGTTTGTTCTTGTTTTATTTAGTTTCCCCGTTTGTTTTCTCTACACACCGGATCTGAGCGAAATCCCACATGGCAGGTCTTTCTCTGTCTGGCTTCCTTACCTACGCTAATGCCCTCTAGATGCATTCATGTAGTTACAAATGGCAGGCCCTCATCTCTTCTGTAGCTGAGTAGTAGTCCACATTGTACACGGGCCACAAGTTCTTGATCCACTCATCTATTCATGGGCACTTAATTTGTTCTCAGCTCTGAGCTGCTGAAAATAGTGACGCGCTATTTACAATAGCCAAGATATGGAAACAACCTAAATGCCCCAAAACAGATGACTGATCAAGAAGATGTGGTCTCTATACACGATGGAATACTACTCAGCCATCAAAAAGATAGTCATACCATTCGCAGCAACATGGACGGAGCTGGAAGGACGGTGTTCAGTGAAATAAGTCAGAAGGAAAAAAAAAATCAGATGGTTTCACTTACAGGAGGAATATAGAGGAACCAAAGTAGGGATGGGGGGAAAAAAGGACAAAACTAGCAGGCAAACTGTAAATCAGAGAAATTCAGCGGGGGAGGGGGAGGGAGTGGTCAAAACAGGGAAGGGAAGAGCACAAGAGACTATGGTGATGGCTCACAGGTGACTTGGTGGTTTTAACTTTATGGGGAGTACGCCTGAGGGGAGAAATCAAACTTGTACAAAAATGAACAATGATGCAAAAATATATAATTTTTTAAAAATGGGGGGAATAAATAGCCTCCCTGGTGGTGCAGGAGTTAAGCCTCAGTGCTTTCAAGCCAGAGAGCTGACTCACAGCACAGTAGATCTCCCCTGTCTCGTTGCTGCTCCCCTCAGCAGTATATTTCTGCTCCCCACTCTGCCTCTGGTGAGCCCTCTCACCACCCCCCCCAGCTCTTGTATGCATAAATAAATCAACAAATCTTTACAATAAATAATTAAGGGATAAAAAGAAAACAGTGCTGCAGTGAGCATGGGCTACATGTCTCTTCAAGTTAGTGTTTTTGTATTTTGTGGCTACATACCCAGAAGTGGGATAACTGGCATTTCTATTTTTTTTTTTTTTTAAAGATTTATTTATTTATTTGTTTGTTTGTTTATACATACAAGCACTGGGTACAGTCAGAAAGCGCGGGAGGGTGAGAGAATTCACCAGAGCCAGAGCGGGGAGCAGAGCAGGCAGAAGGACCGAAGGACACTGCTGAGGGGAGCAGCGGGCGGCAGGAGAGGTCTGCGCGCCATGTGGGACCCTCCTCTGGTGGCCGGGGAGCAACCGGGGATGGAACTGGCGCCGCGTAGACTGCGGGCAGCTTCGCAACCCAGCGCTCAACCGCTGCGCCACCGGGGAGGCCCTCTATTTTTTTTTTAAAGATTTATTTATTTATGCATACAAGAGCTGGGGCACAGGCCAGAGATGCTGGGGCGGGGGGGTGAGAGGACTCACCAGAGACAGAGTGGGGAACAGAACAGGCAGATCGACTGAAATACACTGCTGGGAGGAGCAGCGGACGAGGCAGGAGAGGTCTGCTGCGCCATGTGGGTTTCTCCCTGGCTGGGGATCGAACTCGTGCTGCAGAGGCTGTGGATTGCTTCATAGTGCGGTGCTTAACCCCTTGCGCCACCAGGGAGGCCCTGGCATTTCTATTTTTAATCTTGAGCAGTCACCATACTCCTATCCTAGCGTTTATTTCAAGTTACACTCCCTAACAATGCGGGAGGGCTCCCTTCTCACCACATCCTCTCCAACCCTGGCTTCTCGTCTTTGGAGTAACAGTCGTTCTCGCAGATGCAAGCTGACATCCCACCACCTTTTTGATTGGCGCGTCTCTGACACAGGGGATGAATATTCCATGTTCGCCCTATTGGCCATCTGTATGTCTCCTTCAGAGACGAGTCTATTCTCTGTTCAGGTTGTTTGCTTTTTATTGTTGATTTCTGAGTCCTCTGTATATGCTGGGTTAGGGTTAGGGTTAGTGTTTGCACATCATTTATCTGATGTTTACACATCATTTAATCAGATAAATGATGTACAAACATTTTCTCTTAAGTAAGATGTCTTTTCATTTTGACGTTTCTTAAAAGCAGAAGCTTTTAAGGTGAATGTCACCTCACTCACTTACTTTGCTTTTGTTTCCCCCACTGTTGCAGCTGAGTCCCCAAAGATATATCAGATGCTGATGTCAAGAAGGACATTGCCTATTTTATTCTATGTATTTTATGGGTTTAGGTCTTTAATCCATTTGAATTACTTTTTTGTGCGTGGTATTAGATAAATTCATTGTGCATGTCTGTGTGGTTTTATTGCTGGGCTCGCAATTCTGTTCCACTGATCTGTGTGCCTATTTTTAATTCCAGCACCATACTGGTTTGTTTTTTTTTTTTTTAGTTAATTTATTTATTTATTTATACAAGCAGTGGGTACAGTCAGAAGTGCGGGAGGGTGAGACACTTCGCCAAAGCCAGAGCAGGGAGCAGAACAGGCAGTCGGACGAAGTACACTGCTGAGGGGAGCAGCAGGCGGCAGGAGAGGTCTGTGAGCCATGTGGGACCCTCGTCGGTGGCTGGGGATTGAACTGGCGCTGCAGAGGCTGTGGGTAGCTTCGCAGCCCAGCACTCAATCGCTGTGCCACGGGGGAGGCCTACCATACTGTTTTAAATAGCACCACTTTGTAATATAGTTTGAAGCCAAGGAGTATGATGCCTCCATTTTTGTTCTTTTTTCCCAGGAATGTTTTGCTGCTTGAGAACTGATAAAATTCCAAATAAATCTCATGAATTTTTTTTTTTTTACATTTCTGTGAAGAATGCCATTGGGATTTTAACAGTGATTGCATTGAATCTATGCATTGTTTTAAGGAATACAGCTTCTTTAATTGTATTTCATTTTAATTAATCTAATTTTAAATAGACACCTATGCCTACTGGCTGCCTTCTTAGAGAGCGCAGCTGATGATCTTGTTCTCTGTCTTCGCTAGAATGCTCAGACAAGATCAACTGCGGGACTGCGCCATCAGATCGCTTATTAGACATGTAACGGTGGCAAGTTATTTAAACTCATTCGTTGCCAGTCCCATCATCTGAATAACAGGGTAAAAAGTAGTCCCTTTCTTACAGTGTAGTGAGAACTAAGTAAGAAAATGCAGGTAAGCACCTGCTAAGCCCACTGACAGGCTCAAAGCCAATGTGTAATGGCAGCAGCAGCAGCAATGAGAACAGGCGCTTATTGGCACAGGAAAAGACGAGGAGGAAGCACAGAGATTGCAAAAGACAACTGGAGGACAGTTTGCTGCTCTGAAACATCTGGGTGCTCCTCCCTTGTTCTGAGATGGCTGAATCTGTAGATGAGACTGCGTTGGTGCCCAGCTGGTCAGAGAAAACCGATCCACTGAACAACCTCCCATTGTGAAAAGTTTCTTTCATTATGAAAAGAAACTCTAGATGTCTGATTTTTCAATTTGAATAAAAACACAACTTAAAAATTAAGCTATTTCAAAGTGCTTGGCTGGAGCTAGAATGACTCAGAACACTTGAGAGGGATGTTTCTTCTCAGCATGAACAGTGTTGGCCCCAGGAGGCTCTCAGCCTTATTCCCTCTGCACGTTGTACAAACATGGCAAGGAAACCGCCCTGAACAAGGTCCTCTCTGGATGGCAGAGTCGTGCTGGGCTTTCCTTTATTCACATCCACGTTGCCAAGTTTGTAAGATGGTGAAAATTCTGCATACAAACTACAAATGACCATATTAAGCAACATTAATTTGCAGCCAGGGCTCCACCAATGCCAGCTGAGGGGGTGCCGGGGAGCAGATGACAGAGGGTGCCAGGGTCTTCCCAGAGGGACTCAGCCTTTCTGTGTGTTTGTTTTTAACTGTATCTGAAAACTGCATGTTATTTGCGAAGAACGTGATGTGTAGGGACAGAGCCCTGGCAGGGATGTAAACACTGGGCTCCAGGCTGGATTGCGCGACCTTCCAGACAAGCTGCTGTGCTGTTAACAGCATCAGGGTTTATTCAGCAGGTGTGACAGGATGACTGACCAAAGACTTGCTGCTCGCAGACCCAGGAGCAGGGGCGCCAGGCCACACAGGCCCCGGAAGGGCCAGCCGGTGCAGATGGTCAGCCAGCCAGGCATCGGGTGTGTCTGGTGCCTAAGCCTGGGGGACTCAGGGCAGCGATAGTGACCTTGGGTCCAGCACCTGTCCAAGAAGGCAGGTGTAGGAGCCCCTCCCCTGGCTAACAAGGCCCTGAGATGTCAAAGCAGCAGAAAATAAAAAATAATACAATCAGTGAAAACATTTCACTGCTGTAAACCTCAGTGCACTCCAAGTTATAAAAATGGGGAAATAAAGCCAGTGTCAGCCTGATTCCCGGGATCAACGAGTAAGTGGGGCCTGGGGGCGCCAGCGGGGCTCACCCATTCCCTGCAGACACCCCTGAAGGAGAGGGGCTGCTGCTGGGGCCTCGGTGCCGGCGGGTGCCATGAGCAAGACAGCGCACCCACACAGCAGGCTCCAGCCAGGGTGCTCCAGGAGGCCTCAGGCCTGTGCAGCGACTGGGCTCCGGTGTGAGCAAACGGCCCTGTTGTGAGGACGAAGAGAAGCCTACAGAGAATGGCGTCCTGTCTCCCATGACACTGCCGCCGACCGCACACACTGGCGATCGCACAATGATTTTTTTCACGTCTTGTCGGCCTTTCCTTCTACAGAATACAAAAGCAGAGATTCTGTCCCGAAGCTGGTAACTGACTACCTGCAAAAGAGAATCGACATAGAACCCCTGATCACCCACAAGCTACCTTTTGAGAAAATCAATGAGGCGTTTGGATTGCTCCGAGATGGAAATTGGTGAGCATCTGAGTGATGTGCGTGTGTGGTGTGGGTGTGGTGTGGTGTGTGGGATGTGGTGTGTGTAGAGTGTGGGGTGTGGGATGAGGTGTGTGTGGGGTGTGGGAGTGTTGTGTGTAGTATGGGTGTGGGGGGGTGGGGTGTGGGCTATGTGTGGGTGCGGTGTGTGGGGTGTGTGGGGTGGGAGTGTTGTATGTAGTATGGGGTGTGTGGGGGGTGTGGGGTGTGCAGTATGTGTGGGTGGGGAGGTGGGGTGGAGGTGTTGTGTGTAGTATGGGGTGTGTGTGGGGGGTGTGGGGTATGTGTGAGTGTGGGGTGGGGGTGTTGTGTGTAGTATGGGGTGTGGGGTGTGGGGTACGCGTGGGGAGGAGGTGTGTGGGGTGGAGGTGTGTGTAGTATGGTGTGGGGTGTGGGGTATGTGTGCATGTGGGGTCTTGTGGGGTGTGTGTGTGTAGTATGGGGTGTGTAGTATGGGCTGAGGTGGACACGGGCTGCGCAGACAGGGCACAGGCGCTTGGGGGGCTGAGCGGGATCCCGTCCGGAGCGCAGGAGCTTGGGACTGGGCCACGCCCGGGGTGACCGGCCGGGACTCGGCTCTGGGGTGGCCGCAGCGGGGCACGCCCCGGGACAGGGCCCGGCTGACGGGGCGGCGCCCAGGCCCCCGAGGCGCTGGCGAGGACGCACAGAGGCCGTGGGCGCCCCGGGCGCGGGGCTGGCGGGGGTCGAGTGGCCCCCGAGGGGCGGCCGTCGGGGCGGGTGCCCACGCCCGAGCCGCTGCCCCTGCGACGCCGGCGCCCGCGCAGACCGGCGGGGGCGCTTCGGGGCGGCGGGAAGGGGCGGCCGCGGAGCCGCGAAGGGCGGGCGGCAGCTCTGCGGCCCCGGGACTGACCCCGCCCGCCCGCCCGCCCTGTCCAGCATCCGCTGCGTCCTCCTGCTCTGAGCCCCCGCCGCCCGCCCGCCAGCCGCGCCCGCCGAGCCGCCCCGACGAGACGGACGGCGCCGGCCCGTCGCGGAGACCCTCGCACACGGCCGGCCCGCGCCGGGGACTTGCAAGCGCAGGGCCGAGGCCGGGCGGTCAGGCGGGGTGTCGCGCCTCCCGCGGCCCGGCGGTTGGGGGGGGGTGGAGGATGGGGGGGCGGGGGGATGGGGTTGGGGGGCGGGGGATGGGGTGGGAGTGGGGGGATGGGGTGGGAGTGGGGGATGGGGTGGGAGTGGGGGATGGGGTGGGAGGGGGATGGGGTGGGGGGGATGGGGTGGGAGTGGGGGGATGGGGTGGGAGTGGGGGGATGAGGGCGGGGGATGGGGTGGGAGGGGGGGGATGGGGTGGGAGGGGGGGAGGTGGGAGGGGGGATGGGGTGGGGGGGGGATGGGGTGGGAGGGGGGATGGGGTGGGAGTGGGGGGCGGGGCGCTCCTTCCCGGGCAGGCGCGGGGACTCGCTGCGGGCCGAGCGGGGCGTCCACCGGGCCCCTCTCCCAGCGGTGGAGGCCGCGACGGCGCCGCAGGGGGGGCAGGTCCCCGGCGGGCTCCTGCTCTCACACCCTCCAGCCGGCCGCTTCCGCTCCTGCGGCAAAGCGCACCCCCGTCTAGAGACCCCGGGAACGGAAAACGCTCCAAGAGCAGCGTTTACAAAAGCGTCCTTCGCAGCAGCGCAGAAACGGCCCCTGGCGGCAGCAGAGCACCCGCTCCGGTTTGGGCTCAGGGGTCACCCCCCCGCCCCGTTCCTGCTCAGGGGTCACCCCCCCCCGTTTCTGCTCAGGGGTCACCCCCCCCCCGGTTCCTGCTCAGGGGTCCCCCCCCCTTCCTGATCAGGGGTCACCCCCCCCCCCCCGGTTCCTGCTCAGGGGTCACCCCCCCCCACGTTTCTGCTCAGGGGTCACCCCCGCCCAGGTGCGCGTGGAAAGGTCCTTTCTCTATTATCTCCTATTTTGCAATAAAGAAAAACATGAGTACACAGCCTCTCCGCGCAGCGGCCGGGGCGGGACAGCACGACCCGCGGGGCAGAGCGGGCAGCGGGGAGGACGGGCCTGCGGGCCCCGCACGCGCAGAGGACGGCAGGACGTCCCGAAGGAAACGCGGCCCGGAGCGCAGAGGAAACGAGAGAGCGCGGATTCTCTCTTCAGTGCTTGCTTTTTCTCTTTATCTACCTGCCCCCAAAAAGCTTCCTTTGGGGATGACTCTCAAAAAGCAGAATTTAAAGTTGGTCCAAAGTATGTGAGTGACTCCCACTGAGCGCTTCAAGGAAATAACGGGGCTTGTCCCAGCACTAACTACAGGAGATTTCAATGAAACATTACTCCTAAGAGCCATAATTATAAAATAGAATTTGTATTTCTTAGAAATGTTTGAGAAGAATATGGGAAATACTCATAATGGTATATTAATAAGTAAAAAAAGCACCCCCGCTCCGGTTTGGGCTCAGGAGTCACCCCCCTCCGGTTTCTGCTCAGAGGTCACCTCTCACCCCCCCCCACCCTTTCTGCTAAAATATAGTATGATCCCACTAGGAAATACTCAGGATTTACCTCAAAATCATAAAATGGTTAATAAAATTACAGGTGGATTTTATTTCTTTTGCTCTGATTTGTATGTTGAAACTTTCCATAATTTATATTGTATTTGAAATAAGACTGATGTTTTATTTAAAAAAAAAAGATTTATTTATTTATGCAGACAAGAGCTGGGGTGCAGGCCAGAGGTGCGGGGGGGTGCGAGGATTCACCAGAGACAGAGTGGGGAGCAGAACAGGTGGATCCACTGAAATCCACTGCTGAGGGGAGCAGTGGGGAGGCAGGAGAGGTCTGCTGCAACACGTGGGTTGCTCCCTGGCTGGGGATCGAACTTGTGCTGCAGTGGCTGCGGACAGCTTCACAGTGCTGTGCTTAACCTCTTGAGCCGCCAGGGAGGCCCCCAAGACTTATATTTTAAAATATCATTTAAAATTGTGTAACAACTATCAAAAACATACACTTGTGTGGCTGAAGACTGGGAAAATCACATAAAATGTAAAAACACTAGTACTAGAATGGATGATATTTTTTCTACTTTCTTTCCAAGTCACTTATATTTAAAATTAAAAATATGATTTTAAGAGATTAAAAAACATTTAATCTGGGTGTTATAGAATCCTTAAGGCTTCATTTATTATCAGATGGTTTTCAAGAGACCAAATTCTTATTTTTGTTTTAATGATAAATCCAGCACTTGTGCAAGACTCATGCTCACAGTTTTATTTGCACCTAAGTCCCCTGGTCTTGCGCAAATGCAGATTCCGACTTGGCAGGTCTAGGAGTTGCTGCAGCTGGAGAACTCAAAGGCCATCTGACACCTCCTGCCCCAAGGGCACATCACACTGTCAGCAGCCAAGGTGCAGGTGTCTCTGCCAGACCAAGCAAGGTCAAGCTGCAGAGTCGCACCATGGATGACGCTTTTTGGACAGTCCCTGCCGAAAGCAAGCTGCTATATTAGGGGAAACTTCAATACACTTTCTCTTTTCAAAAATGTAAAGTGCAGTGATTATGACGCACAATTTGATTTTTATTTTCAGTTAAAAACCCTTGTCTTTAAAATGACAGCACCCACAAACCCTGAGTCACAAACTCTGTAAGTCCTCGTCATGAAAGCAAGGTATCAGAATGCTCTTTAATGCTGCCCATTTCCCCCCCTTGCTGCACCTCCCCCTGCAGTGACCTTCAGGGCTAATGGCTGTTGCCATGGTCCCTGAGGTCTGGAGTGGGCAAGGAACCATGCACGCAGGGGGAGAACAGCAAACTCCCTCAGATGCAGAGAAGCCGAATGCCTGCCAAGAGAGAACGACCACCAGAAGCCGCCGCAAAGAAAGTGAAAAGGAATACTGAACACACAAAACCTTATCTCGCTTTCTCAAGGCCCACAAACTTTATTCTGCTATAACTGTCTTTCTAAAATCTTTTCTTTTCCCGGTCTAAAAAGGTCATTGATTGCTGATTAAAAAACATATGTAATTTAATAACTAGACTAATTCAAATGAAACATTACTAAATTTTGTGTAATAATAGAATGGTTAGTGATTTCTAGGTTATACGCTCAGCTTTGATAGCTTTGATGTTAATAAAAAAGCATTGCATTATAAAAGGTAAAATAAGTTAGTGGTAGTGAATAGTTATAAAACAAAAAAGTAATTACATAAAACAAAATAAAAATTATTAGCCTGACTACTTAGGAATGTGACTAGGTCCAGATGTAACTTCGGACGTAGATCACTGCCCTGTCAATGATAAGCTAAACCTATGAGCCAGCTGGTTTAGTTCACTGATAACCGATCCTATGCCTTTAGAAAAACATAGATATACTGACCACTGACTCAAATTAAATTACACTCAAATTTTCACTCTCTTGAAGTGTGTCTGTTTGTCATTTATTCGCCGAATCCCTGACCACTCCGCGCAATCTCTCAACCCTGAGACGGCCTCATTGTCCACTGCTGTACTGGTCCGCGGCACCCCCTCTTCCCCCCCAACCTCCCTTCTCCTTTCTCAGGTTATAAACTGCAGAGCAGCACCTGCCGGGGTGCAGGCCAGCCCTCTGCATTGAGGAAGTGGGGGCGCCCCCCAGGCTCACGCAGGCCTGTGGGGGGTTCCCCCGGGAAAGGCAGGGCATCAGACCAGGGCAAACTTCACTTGCAGGTGCAGGTAAACAGGCTTCACCCCCGCCCCAAGGCCAAAGTACTGATGAGTTATCAGTTGTTATTGATAATGGGTGCAAAGTTTAATTGCACAATATTAACATGAATCATAACCCTAAGAAATCACTTTGGATTAGAATTAGTCAGGTTTTCTTTTTTCCAGTTGTCAGTTATGCAGAAGTATTATCAAAAGGGGAGAAAGGAGGGAAACCAAACAAGGGTCAGGGAAAAAGGAGACAAAATTAGCAGGAAACGGTAGACCCCTGACATGGCAGGGGTGGCCAGGAGGGGGGAAGAGCACCAGAGACTGGGTGAGCGGTCCCTTGCTGATGGGAATTTTCTAGGGACCACACCTGAGAGGAGAACGAACAACGATGCAATATATAAATACGTATTTAAAAGGCAGGGGAGAAAGGTAGTTTGGTTCATGTAGAGGCCACCGGGCTGGTTGTCTAGGATCTGAGCAGACGGGTAAAGGAAGGGTCCTCAAGCCCTCGGTGGCTTTCTCAGGCTTTTATTGAGCTTTACATGCATTGCAGCAACCGGTACGGGCCGCAGGCCTCCAGGCCCCAGGCAAGTCTTCACTCTGGGCTTCTCTGGCCTTCTCTCTCTCCCACCCCCGCCCCCTTCTGCTTCTCCTCCGGGGGTGTCTGCTCAGGACCCCCAGCAGGTTCACACAGTTCCTGATCCGCTCTCTCCCCTCTAGCTGGTTATTATTTATGTTTCCTTTCAGTCCCCTGAAGCAAGTGTGAGCCCTGGACGTGTGTTCTCGCCATTCCCTGTACCCATGGATTCCACCGGCTTTCCCTGCTGTGCGCGGAGTGCGCGGCTGGAAGCCCTGCGGCCGGCGCTCCCACGCTGCCAGGTTTTCAAAAGACGGGGAAAGGCAAGGACTGTTCCCTAATGTAGTTTCCCTTGTTCTTTGTCAAAATACCCACAGGCTCTCATGGCGCAGCTTCAAGGCACCCTGCCCACCTGGCGCCTCCCGGCAGGCGGCCTTTAAGGAGGCTCTTTCCCGGCCCTGGGCCCCAGGGGGAGGCGCTGGAAAGCCGGGGCAGCGGTGACCAGCCTCACACCAGGGGCTCCATTTTCTAACTCCCAGGACATGGAAACGCCAGGCTGTCCCGGGCAGTGCCCGCGGCGGAGCCCCTGGGCCCTGCCTGCACGGCGGGCCGCCCGAAGCCAGAGCCGGGCACAGCGCGTCGCCGGCCAGGGCAGGGCTCTGCGGCGCAGCCGCCTCGGCCGGCCTGGGTGCGGCGCCTCCCTCTCCCGCGCAGAAGCCGCCCCTGAGGA